TTTGTGCCTCCTCTATTTTTTGTCAAATTTCAAGGAAGCACTGTTTAAGTCAGGATCACTTCCTACCTAAGCGTTGTGAAAAAAAAGGAAAAAACATTAACTACATGTACCCAACCCTAATTCCTATTTTTGTTCAAACATGTAACTTTTTTGTTAAGCCTTTAACAAAATAAATAGCTCAGACTTACAATCTACATTTGACACTTGAGTTCAGTAATGGACAGATCAAATTATGGAATTTGTACCCGTAATCAATAATTGAAAAGGCAAGCTGATCAATTTTGAGTTATATTATCAAGTATTGGCCCATCACTAGTTACCATTAGATGTAAAAAAAAAAAATAAAGAGACAAACAAGAGGCCTAGAGGGCCTGAATCCCTCAACTGGATATTTAAACATCACGGGAATATATTCTGATTAAATACATCATGTACTGCAACTATAGGCTCTGTCTCTCAGCATATTGAAAGAGAATAATTTAAACACTTATCAATATTTCCCCCCTATTGGACCCCGATTCTCTGCCCCCATGAGGGTCACACCCTCTGTTTATACAAAATTGGGTCCCCTTTGACCAAGGATACTCTAACTCCAGGCCAATTGTAGTCAAAATCCACTGAGCTGTTCGACCTCAGGACAAGTGGACACCAAGGATGAAGCTTACCAAGTTTAAAAAGATTCATTCCCCGGTTCTTAGAAAATATCTAAAAGTTTACAGACAGGTGGTGACCTAAAAATAATTTACACATACCAGCATATAAACAGTTTCAAACATTATGAAATATGATACATTTTTATATGCACTACCTCCATTGTTCAGGAAATGCCTCTTCACTGTAGGAGTTGTTCAGGTATCAAGGAAGTAGACGGTCTGCTGTCAAAAACCAGTGATCAGGTTGGCAAACTGGCACTTCATAACACTTCATGCTGACCGAACCAGACCTACAACAATCATGTCATTGAGATTTCAGTAATATTTGCTAAATGTTGTACATAATGCACATGAAAAAAAATGATAACGACTTAAAACAAGTATTTCAAATTAACTTAAATCAAAGATATGTTTGATAATTGGTCAACAATATTGACATCCAATATCACTCAATATCCACTGTTCCCATGAACTATAGCTATAGATTTATCATCTCCTATATGAGACAAGTTTTAATATGACATCTGCAACAAATGCATATGGGCAGGCCAGGGTTATGCACATTTTCCTCGAATGAGGCATACTTGATTGGATCTGATGTCATCATCTAATAACAGTAGAAAATTTAAATCTTGATTTTTATGCTAATTTCAGGCGGTTAGTTTTAATTAGCTGATCACTGTATGCTGTTCTGAATATGAAATTTGCATCCACTTCTCAAATTTGTCAAAATTAATTATGAAGCATGAACAGGGAAAAAAATGCACATATGGTTCCGAGGTATTTGAAATCCTTACTGTAAATATTGAGATAAAAATCATATAAAACATAAGGGTATTGCTACTTTTTTGGTAGTAGACTACCCTTATTTTTTTATATGATTTTTATCTCAATTTACAGTCAGAATTTCAAACACTTGTGATTGGATACTTGATATCAAAGTTTTACATTCTACACAACGTATTAAACGTGTCGCAACCTTCCAAGACCGACTTGTCCCTTTGTCAAGCTATGACAGCACCAATATCAGTTCTGTATTTCAGACATGCATTTGTAACGAACCCCTGTGTGCAGGGTTAACATTTTGCCAGTTTCCAAATACTTGTGGGATTTCGTTATGGCCACGGCATCCTATAAATATGACGATTTTCTGCTACGATACAAACAATTTTGGCTCAAACATAAATAGATTACAGTTCAATTGCTGTCATAACCAAGACTTACCGCACTGTCGACTGCATTTTCCAAAATCTACTGCCACAATCGGGCATGTTTCCGGTTTAAGGGAGCGAGCATTATTTTCCGCGAATTTCGTTGGCGATTTAAGCGCCGGCTGTTTTAATGAGAACTAATTAAAATTCTAGAATTCATTCTAGAATTCATTCTAGAATTTTAGTTCCTCATTAAGACGACAAGCGGCGCTCCATCATAAACGATGTCGAAATCGCGATCGGTAAAAGTAGCATAGCATGGAATGAACACGCAATAGATTTGTAAACGGGTGAAACAATACAAATGAACATAGAATTAGATTCCAAACCAGAAGTAACTAATNTTAATGAGAACTAATTAAAATTCTAGAATTCATTCTAGAATTCATTCTAGAATTTTAGTTCCTCATTAAGACGACAAGCGGCGCTCCATCATAAACGATGTCGAAATCGCGATCGGTAAAAGTAGCATAGCATGGAATGAACACGCAATAGATTTGTAAACGGGTGAAACAATACAAATGAACATAGAATTAGATTCCAAACCAGAAGTAACTAATTCTATAACTTATCAACTAGAGAAATAATACAAATGTACATAGAATTAGATTCCAAACCAGAAGTAACTAATTCTATAACTTATCAACTAGGGAAATAATACAAATGTACATAGAATTAGATTCCAAACCAGAAGTAACTAATTCTATAAAAAATAATTATGGCGGTGATCCCCTTCCATATATATATATATATATATAACATCGTGTTTTCACGGGGTTCTGACAACAGCATGACAGCAAAACAAACAAAAGTCTTATACTATTACCACATACTTTCACACCTTATCTTATCTATAAAGTCAAGCCAATTATATTTAATGTAAACTCATATTAGCATAACAAGTCTACATCGGCGGCTGTATCACGGCGGACGTGAACCAAGTCCGCCCTGTGCTACGTCATTGAAGTGTATCAATACCCAGTGATGAGGTCACCCGTGTTATGCAAACATGAATGTCATTTTCGTCAATGAGTCTAAGAATACAGAATATTAATATTCCTTATAACCATAGGGTTAAAAAGACGTGATGAAAAAGATTATATACAAGTATATATGTTAGTCTTTGTTTCCCAATCATCTCTTTCTTTTATTCCTACAATGTGAGATTTTAAGTACAAAATCAAAGAAACCTTAGAATTATAGAATGACTAACAATATTATACGCAACTCGGGTGGTCGGGTACTCCCTCCGCGCCCTAACAGCCGAGCCAATGATAAAGATTAATATAAGTTAAAATAACCTGTTTCATAATTGTTGTAAATAAATAAAGTTTAGATTAATATTTACGCAGGCATGATCCACTGAATTCATTTAGCAGCCGTTAAGATAATTGAAATTTGAAATTATTCGTACATTTAGAGGTGTACTGGTTAATTTTAAATTAATAATACAATGGGCCTGTATTCTTGCCTATTTAATCTGGACGTGAGAACATGGATATCCCGCTGACATTTTTATCATGGAATTCATCACAGATTTCTTATTGAACAAATTGGTAAAAGTAACACCAATACTTGGTAAGGGAAATGACAAGAGAATAACCATTAGATCATTTTCAATATCAAGTTTGGTGTTCATCGAACTCACGGAAATTGAAAAATAGAAAATTCTTAAAGCAATCATACCCAAGGACAGATCTTAAATAATATCGCGCTGAAAAATTATAACTACATGTTGTCATGGAGAACCACTTGCAGATATAAAACTGTCCTATGTTAATTTGTTTACGTCCCTGTATAATCTATTCGTTCATATGTATGTTCAATGATTAAATACATGTTAATGTTAATTAAAACACAATATACCATCGTATGGACATTACAAATGTATGACTCTATACTGATCGATACAAATGTTTGGACTATATCTATATCAAATACAACAACTTATTGGTCTACAATATAATTTTGTCATTCCATGCCAAAGTAACATACTGACGACTTGTTACATCTGTATAGGGATTGGTTGTTGTCCAACCCACTGTTTTTTTTAAAACCAACGCGATCTCCGGAACTCATTACAAGATACAAGATACAAGAATTTTTATTTAGAGTCGTATATGTTGTAATGGAAACATTAGTTCTGTAGAGCTATTATTACAACAAACAAAGGTATAAAAACAGGATATATACATGTAAGACAACATGCAGAAAACAAACAGGCATATAGCAAGGTTTATACAATATACAGACAAGAAAAAAATATTAAATCACAGCATGCAGTAATTAAAAACAACTTGGCACGTACAGAACAAAGTATATGTAAAATTCTATATCAAAATTGATGCTGCACAAAAGATTCATGCCACATGCTCACAAACCAAGAAACCATGGTTCAGTATATACATAAATGCCAATATGGCATGAGTTAAAAATTGACCGAATATATGCAAAATGGCATAAATTAAAAGATGATTTGACAAGCATTGAGTAAGTCATACAATGTGTAAATAAGAGCACTAAGCAGAAAATGAAAGGAAGTAAAAGCATAGAAGCATGGTATCACAAAACATGGTATCACAAGACATGGTAAAAACTAAGTATAGAAATGATAAAGGATGGAAAACAAACAAGACTAGTTACATATGGTGCAGGAACACAACTGGCCGTCCCAAGTGTGCAGCAGTCTGCGAAAGCTCTGGTAATTTTTCTACTTTCCTCAGTTCATTCGGCAAACTGTTCCACACTTGGGCAGCCTCAAAGCGAAAGGACTTTTTTCCATACTTTGTTGTGTTAACTCTAGGTACCTGAATGGTGTTCTCTTGCCTGAAATTATATTCAACATTATTTTTAACAATCAAATCATTTAAAAATTCTGGAGCTAATCCATTTGAATTTTTAAAGACTTCTGTAGCCACAGTCTTCATTCTAACAACGTGTAAAAATGTGAGGTTGTTTCTGCGTAACATATCTATCACAGGTGAGGTAAAATCGTTTTCAATAAAACGCAGAGCTCTTTCCTGTATCTTTTCTATCTTACGAGTGTTTCTGAGGCTACAAAAATGTCAGGCTAGGGGGCAGTAATTGAAATGAAATGAAATAAAAGATTTAAAAATGGTGATCTTTCCTTTTTTGGTAAGATTATTTCCAATTCTTTTTTAAATAGCTAATTGTTTGGAGGCCTTTCTACAGATCTTAGATACATGGTCATCAGTATTAATACAGAGTCAATCTCCACACCTAGCAGAGTAACATTATTTTTATAATCAATTACCTGGTCTCCAATAGAAAAGGATTTAATATTGTCACAGGTTTTTTTCCCTATACATATGGCCTGAAATTTGCTAGGATTTGCTTTCATACCATTTGCTGAAACCAGTTTAGTAAAAATTTACTTTCTTTTTCTAGAGTATGTTAAAGGTTTGAAGAACAGTTGCTGATATATGCAAGGGTATTGTCATCAGCATAATTGTAAAAATCGCAGAAACGTAAAAATGTCATTAAGAAAAATGTTAAAAATCAGTGGGCCGACAACAGACCCCTGGGGAACTCCCTTCCTTAGCAGCTTCCAGTCGCCGACATCGGGGCCATATCTACCAGAGGACGCCATAGCACCACCACCACCACCACCCCACCACCACCACACCACCACCACCACCACCACCAGAGGACACGAACTCAAATTATCCGGAAACATTCATTCTTCACCGAACCGTGGATATATGGAACGGCCTGCCATCGGAGGTCGTAATGTCACGAACAGTCCGAGCATTTGAACTTAGCCTTGACCGTCATTTGGAGAACCAACCACTTGTATATAACCACAGGAAAGCCATCGAAGTCACACATACTAATGGTCATTGATTGAACTTTAACGAAAATATCACATTTAAACATTTAAAAATTGCGATATACAAGAGACACTCATATACGTACCAACATTTTTATTTTTGAACCACACTCATTCAATTCACAATGTTAGTGTAATATAATTACTTATCATTGAACATCTGTTCTCTATGGAACTGTGCAGCTATCTGTAATGGACTCGCAAAACAATACTCAGAAATCAGGTTATAAATATGTTTAGAATAAATCTGTGTATCTGTGTATTTGTGTATATCTAGCTAGAATAAGTCACTCTAAAGCGCTTTATAGTGCATAGATGTACAAATGTTACAATCAATACAATTAACCTAATCAATAACACTTTAAGGAAGTGGCAGAAGCTGCTTTATCAGGCGCTAGCTACTAGTGCTAAGCCTTCTAGATAATATCTCCCACTGTGTGTATGCCTGCGTGTGTGTTGGAGATGTATTGTGTACCCCTTTCTCATACTTGTTAAACATATATATACATGTGCATTTAAACTCTGTCATGAAATTATTTGGAAATGAAAACGAAACTAAAACGCTGCAGTTTCAAGAAAATGTAAAAGCGAAACAAGATATATTTGCTCGAAACCAGAGAAAGTCGGTCGATTTCCGGACGACAGTGATGGCGTGCAAGTGACGTTTGGCATTGTGATTTGTTCGGGCAGATACGCATATACACGTGCACATTGCATTAAATGATAATTATTAATTCAATGCATATGTTCATACGTTCATGCTTGTCTCTGACTAATAAATGCCTGTTCACTTCATACATGTATACGTGCTATTGACGATCTTCTGTTTTTCCAAACTTTCACTTATAAATGAAACCGAAAGTGAATACGATTTCATGGAATTCCTAAGCCCTACACCCCGAGTCTAACGGTAAAAACAACATGGCTACTACTCGGATGTACCCTTCTGATTTGCGATACACACACGACAGTGTCAGCTGCAGATTTTCGAATGGATTTTGCTTAGAGGAAACTTTTGAAAAAATACTTTATGATGAAGTAAGAATGTATGACTTGCCCTGCCTTGTTGCTATGCCCTACCAAGGCAAGTGGTTTGTAGTCAGGGGGAACAGGAGATTGTATATTTACAAACAACTGGAATCCGCTGGAAAGATTTCTAAAGTTGACGTTAAATGTGTGGCTTTTGAGTCCGATCTATTCTATCGTCAGTTCTCCACAGAAAACTCGGGTCGGTCTCTCCGTATTCGAAGTAGACCCTCCATGGAACAACATTTAACACAGATAGTTCGCACATGGGTCTCCAATGGTCAGAGAAGGAAACCCGTGTATGAGGCAATGCGAAGTATTTACAGCAACGATTCATTTTCATATCCATCCACTGTCACATATGAAAAACGCGTTCCACGAAGTACCGGAAGTACAATGTCTAGAAACACCTCAACGTACCCACCATACAACTACCACACGGCGTCCACCCACAACGACGAAGGTTTGTTTATACTTAAGGATATATGTTTAGTTAAATGATAAAATTTTATTTATTTATCGAGTAAGTATCGCGACTGTAACAGTAAGTAAAATGTAACTTTAGCTGAATATCTCGAATTTAGTGATGGTATCTCGAACTTTGTGTCACGAACTTTAAACTCATGTTAACGAAATTACGAAATATAATATATTTATCTTTTGTGAAATAGCCTGAAGACAATATCGTTAAACATAATGTTTTCACCGATTTCAAAACATATTCAGGTATACATAACACGTGATGGTACCACCCAGTCATTCTGAATTAACTGAAACGTCAGTTGAATACACACTGTCCTGTGCTTTTGAATTATGGCAGATTGTAACATTTTGTCATACTGGACAGTCTAAGTCTCCGAGTCAGGGCAAGGGGGAACTTGGCCTAACTTATACATTGCATGATAAATGAAACAGTGATATGCTTTTATTTAAAATATTGACCTCCGGCCAAAGAAAAATACATTTAAATCTAAGCCTAATTGTCGTTAATATTAAAGGTGACTATTTGACTGCTATTTGACAGGCACTTCGGTGGTGTGGTGCTGCTGTAAATGTTTTCTGGCTGTGTTGATGCTGTTGATGATGCTGCTGCTGCTGGCTGTCGGGAGTTTACACAGTCAGATATAGCTGGTGGACTGACTATTACCATGATGTGGAAACTGGGAAACCTAAGGTGCACAGATAGTTACCGTGCTGAGAAAGCATTAATGTGATTAAAATACTGACCTACCTGGTACATTAACCGGTGGTCGGGTGGCGCAGTGGATAGCGCACTTGCCTTTCACCAAGGCGGCCGGGGTGCGATTCCCCGATCGGTCGTGAAAAGGTTAAGGGTCACCTGCCCGACCACGTGGGTTTTCTCCAGGTACTCCGATTTCCTCCCACACTAAAAACCCATGCGCGCTAACATCCTGGACAACGATAGTTAATATAAGTTGAAATAACTTGTTTCAAAATTGTTGTAAAATAAATAAAGTTTATTTCATATATATATTTGTTTATACATTAACCGTTACCGTGGTGAGAATTTAATGTAAAACCCACAAAGTTGACACACCCGGGTAAATGTGTTCGCGTTATTACGACTTTCCAGTATTTTATCCTTACAAGTTACCTGTTGACACATACCTAGTGCATAAAGTGTCAGTGTCGAATAATTTGCACATCGCTTTACGCTTCATTGCACCTTTGATTAAAATCTTAATTACATACCGGTACTTGCGTCAATCACTAGTAAGTTGTGTAGATAATTCAAGCTTGCCGTTTGCGGCGATATGGGGTCTAACTCGTGTTATGTAAACCAATGATTTGAACAACATATACGTATTAAAAATGTGATGATAGTAGATTATTGCGAGGAAGTAATAATTGGTGACGTAATATATATGAAGTGTTGGCATTAATTACGGAGAAAGTCTTTATTGACATTTTAAATGAAAACCTCTTTACTTTTAAATGTATTAAAAAGTCAAGAGTTTGTCAAGTATGGAGGACGATGATAAGTGGCAGATATGTGTCTGTAGAACGACACAACTAATATAAATGGTAATGAATTAAGAACTTATCTGACCTATAAGTGTGAACCTGTCGTTAATCTTAAATGTAAAAGACAAGTTTTCGCGGATCGATATCTCTTGAAATTGAAAAGGGCAGACTTACTCAACATATAACCACTTTCAATAATAGATTATGTAAATTATGCATTAATAACGTTAAAAACGAATGTCATTTATATGCTACAATGATCTTCGAAGTGTTATTTTCTAGAGCATGTAGTATAAATCAGATCAATCTGTTTGAAATGTCCGAGCCATATATCTAAAAAAAAACAAGTGGAAAAGAGAGCAATGCGTTATAAAGTTTTCTGTATGCATTGCTAATCACGAAAGAAATTTACTGAATGGGTGAACTACAACCTGTACAAATGTAGGTAGGGGGCTGCCCAATCACGCTTGTGTGTCTTTCCTCCTAAACGCGTGTGGAACCTTTATCATTTGTATACTGCCATGCTATTTTAACAAAAGCTCAATGACAATGCAGACATATTTTTTTAACGTGTCTTTTAAGCAATTCATGGCTGGACACGTTTTATATAAATGATGTACTATTGTATTGTTACATTTGTAGCTGTATATTATGTGTTTGACACATAATTAAAAAAAAATATGCTAATTATGTTGTACAGATAAATACCTGTATACCATAACCAATAAAAGTCATAGGACAGGTGCGTCTTTCTAGAGTAGGAGCAATGCCTTATCTACAGATTTACCTCTGTTATTTGTCATACTATGTATACTGATTTCAGTAATAATGTCTGTACAGATCTTTACACACATACATGTTTGCACGACCTAACCCAGCATTTTGTCATAACAAGGGAGACAACGCTTGAACAATTAATACAGACTTTTTGTTACAACATAATTTCTTTCACAGTTATGCTTGCAATTGTAACCATGAATGTAAGTTATGAATGCCACTGATATATGAACAAAACCTCACCGGACAATAACATTTCCCTATTTGAAAACAGGATCTAGTATAAACGAAGACGACAACTAGTAAGGCGTTGACAGACCTGTCCCCAGCCCCGTCTCCTCGCTGCTCTATCATTGGTTTGCAGTCACATATGTTATATTGTATTTTGAGGTACGTCACTGCTATCCTACCGTTGGTGTCGGTAACAATGCGTACATGTGTAGTACCGTGTTACGTGTCGGAAATAACAGGTTTAACAAGTCTATGAATAGTTAAACATGGACATAACATACACGTTCACAACATTTACGTCACAAATCACCTACACAGGAAACTTACGAACTCAGGAAAAAGACGACTGAAACAAGCAATCGACACGACACAGGGGTCTACAATAGAACATTTATAAATTCTAAAGTTAATATTAAACAATTACTCAGTCAAATACTCGCTCTTTTTCTTAAAATGTTTTTTTTTTAACATTCACTGATCAGCAGGTAAATTATTCGACAAACGATGATAAAATCATGGAATCACAATTCCCAGTCGCTCTTGAAATAAGATGAATTAATTTCTAAAAATGGACGAAGCCATTGAGAACTTCCGTGAAGAAACCCCCATTAGTTATAATATTTTTAGCAAATTTAGATTGTTTTCTGTCAGATATGTATGATAGAACCAAACCAGCACGTTGAAATATGTTCGACTCCATGGCTTTTTATGCTTCACACATAAAATATTTTTTTACATGCACAAAGCTTTATATCAGTCTATTTCTTTTGACATCAGCGAGGGTCAAAAAAGAAAACTGACCATGCTTTTGTGACATCAGAGATAGTGAAAAAAGAAAACTGACCATGCTTAGTTGACATCAGAGATGGTATAGAAAGAAAATGACCATGATTTGATGACATCAGAGATGGTGTAGAAAGAAAACTAACCATGTTTTGTTGACATCAGAGATGGTGTAGAAAAACAACTGACCAATGCTTTTTGATATCAGAGATGATGAAGAAAGAAAACTAACCATGCTTTGTTGACATCAGAGATGGTGTAGAAAAACAACTGACCATGCTTTTTGATATCAGAGATGATGAAGAAAGAAAACTAACCATGCTTTGTTGACATCAGAGTTGGTGTAGAAAGAAAACTAACCATGCTTTGTTGACATCAGAGATGGTGAAGAAAGAAAACTAACCATGTTTTGTTGACATCAGAGATGGTGAAGAAAGAAAACTAACCATGGTTGTTGACATCAGAGATGGCATAGAAAGACAACTAACCATGTTTTGTTGACATCAGAGACGGTGAAGAAAGAAACTAAATGTAACCATGTTTTGTTGACATCAGAGATGGTGAAGAAGGAAAACCATGCTTTGTTGACATCTGAGATGGTGAAGAAGGAAAACTATCCATGCTTTATTGACATCAGAGATGGTATAGAAAGAAAATGACCATGATTTGATGACATCAGAGTTGGTGTAGAAAGAAAACTAACCATGTTTTGTTGACATCAGAGTTGGTGTAGAAAGAAAACTAACCATGTTTTGTTGACATCAGAGTTGGTGTAGAAAGAAAAAGACCATGATTTGATGACATCAGAGATGGTGTAGAAAGAACACTAACCATGTTTTGTTGACATCAGAGTTGGTGTAGAAAGAAAACTAACCATGTTTTGTTGACATCAGAGATGGTGTAGAAAATCAACTGACCATGCTTTTTGATATCAGAGATGATAAAGAAAGACCACTGACCATGATTTGTTAACATCAGAGATGGTGTAGAAAAACAACTGACCATGCTTTTTGATATCAGAGATGATGAAGAAAGAACACTAACCATGTTTTGTTGACATCAGAGTTGGTGTAGAAAGAAAACTAACCATGCTTTGTTGACATCAGAGATGGTGAAGAAAGAAAACTATCAATGTTTTGTTGACATCAGAGATGGTGAAGAAAGAAAACTAACCATGTTTTGTTGACATCAGAGTTGGTGTATAAAGAAAACTATCCATGGTTGTTGACATTGGAGTTTGTGAAGAAAGAAAACTAACCATGTTTTGTTGTTATGAGAGATGATGAATAAAGAAAACTTACCATGTTTTGTTGACATCAGAGATGATGAATAAAGAAAACTAACCATGTTTTGTTGTTATGAGAGATGATGAATAAAGAAAACTATCCATGGTTGTTGACATTGGAGTTTGTGTAGAAAGAAAACTAACCATGTTTTGTTGTTATGAGAGATGACGAATAAAGAAAACTGACCATGCTTTGTTGTTATGAGAGATGATGAATAAAGAAAACTAACCATGCTTTGTTGTTATGAGAAATGAAGATGAAGAAAACTGACCATGCTTTGTTGTTATGAAAGATTATGAATAAAGAAAACTAATCATGCTTTGTTGTTATGAGAGATGATGAATAAAGAAAACTAACCATGCTTTGTTGTTATGAGAAATGATGAATAAAGAAAACTAACCATGCTTTGTTGTTATGAGAGATGATGAATAAAGAAAACTAATCATGCTTTGATGACATCAAAGTTGATGTAGGAAGAAAACTAACTATGTTTTGTTGACATCATTGATGGTGTAGAAAGAAAACACATCAAGCTTTATTGACATCAGCGATAGTGTAGAACGAAAGCTGATGACGTGTTTATGATAGCTGGGATGGTGTAGAAAGAAAGCTGACAATACTAAACCACCAGCGATGGTTTAGAACTCCATTCGTAAGTGTCTCAATGAAGTAACTCACTGTGCTGTTTTTAAATTCATATGACTACAATAAACAGCTTGACGAACGACAGTATATCTGCATTGCCAAACACTTTCTCCCATCATCAACAAGACATATTAAAAACAATATCATCCTGATTTTGTCTTTATCTTAATCGTTTGAAGGTACGTCCGGTTTCAAATCATGACAGTGACACAATGAAATTTGGTATCGTCTTTGTACTTTAAACGGGAAATATTGCTTGTGTGATGCGATATGAGGACATAGATAAGAAAATTGATAACAAAGTTCTCGGAATAATGATAAATTTGGAATCCTCAGCTACATTTCCTGCTCGAAATGTTTAAGTTAAATATTTTATATTTGTACAAAATTGTACATGAGTTATTTCTGTTATATATTATAACAATATATTTCATTTTTGGAGCACAAGTTTTCCTTACTTCAGGAAATACACATAATATTTGCTTTAAGTTTAATACTGATTTCGTCTACAGTCATCTAAATATAAACAAGGGGGGTTAATTCTAAAAGGAAGATGGATGAAACACAATAAGTAATGTTAATGAATCCGACTTTAATTATTGCACGGTTCACATGAGCGAACAGTGAAAAAAACGTCAGGACGCAATAGAGAGAAACGTACTTGTAAGTAAGATGCTATTACATTCTGTTTGATAAAGTCATTGCAACTGTATGATAAGAATGGTAAGCGAACACCTTTTTTGTATTTTTGTATTATATAGTAAAGGACATCGACATAGCTAAATTCATATGAAGGCTGGTGCCTATGGAGAAACTAAGGGAAAAGGTTGAGGAGAATAGAGAAGATACAAGCGTTGTAATGGGGGCAACAGTTATATTTCGGTTTCTTCAATGTCATCTTTGTAACGGACACAGAAGGAAAACTTTTCATTCTGCAAGGGAATCAACTTAAATGTTATGTTCTCACTGGAAAGAACCAATGTGTTTCAGTTAATACCGTGTTACTGATATACCGATATACTGATATACAGATAAACAGATATACTGATATACAGATATACAGATATACAGATATAATGATATACAGATATACTGATATACAGATATATAGATATACAGATATACAGATATACTGATATACATATATACAGATATACTGATAAACAGATATACAGATATACAGATATACTGATATACAGATATACAGATATACTGATAAACAAATATACAGATTTACTGATATACAGATATACAGATATACAGATATAATGATATACTGACATACTGATATACAGATATACAGATATACAGATATACAGATATACTGATATACAGATATATCATTATGTAAACATGAAAGCAGTTGGGATAGAGCAGGAATCATGACAATAGGTTGTATTAATACGTAGTATTTGTCATGTGTCGAGCACAGCATCACACAGATATCACAACATTATACGCGAAGGATAATAGTACATTAGAAGTATGTCACGTGCATGTAACTGTTCAGTTAATAATTCTTTGGTTCTTATTTCATTTGTTTTAAGCTAGATATCAAGTTATGTTTTTTTCCCTTTCCAACGGAATAGGACATAAGACAGTGTTTAAATGTGTATTTACCTTGCCTTTGGGCTCATAATATCGTAACAAGAATGGTTAGCTTACAATATAATTAAAATCAGATCTCTCATTACTCTACGTCAATGAGAGATCTGATTTTAGTTAGATTGGGTTAGCTTAACGAGTCGTAAGTGTAAACTTCATAATGTCATTTTTGAAAAAAATATGTATTATGTTTTGATTATCTAAATCGCAGTAAAAGCATTTACGGGTTTGCATGTTATTTTTTTTTTCGATATGAGTTATGAAAGGTTTGAATTAAGTTTTAATGCTTATCCGGCGACGCACAACCAGGCCCATATATCAGCACTGTACAAGATAACCGACCATTCATACAGCTCAATAGAGTGCGGACGGTAGGTGGTGTCAATACCATCCTAGTAACAGACGTTATGTGCATGTTCATTGTTGCAGTTTCACACATACCAGTAATTAGGGACATAGCTTACAACCCTGGTACACGTACAGTAGTTTTGTGTATGTGTTTGACGGCTCAGCACGTTTACAACACCACACGGCCCTTCTTGTCAGAACCGGTATGTATCATGGAGCTAACCAAGACATGTAGACACTGACTAGCAAACTGTTATCGCAGAAAGAGATGTTACAGTGCAATACATGTATAGATACAAAAAAACATTTATGACTGGTATATTATAAATGTACCTTTTACATTAATATATTAAAGCTGCACTAAAATATTGACATTGGTATTCTAGTCTGTAATGTAACTTTTAGGTAAGAAGAATATCTTTTGGTTTATAAATCAACCCGTATAATTTATGTTCTTATATACAGAAAGAAAGAAAATAGCAATATACAATGTCTTAACTAAAAAATTTACAACATATAGAATAGTTACAATCTATATTTCATCAAATTGTGAGCGAGTGTCAGCTCTGTTTTGCCAATAATTACAAACCTGCAACGAATATATTCTAAAACCGAACAATCAAGGTTATGTAATATATTGAGGTATTCAGTAAATGCCTGATTTGAATGGTTTTTGTTTCATTAGTTATACTTAAAATATTGGCGGTACCGTTACTTATAGTAACCCTCTCATCTCTCAGAACCTAGAACAGCTGACAACATTTCTCTTATTTCCTAAAATGTTGAGCAGGTGGCAGTTACCTCATTGTCTTCAAAACTTTTGATGAAATATATATCTCTCTCAGGTTATTCATCATTTGTCACCCGCTCTACTTTAATTTAAAATGGATTACTGTAACCACGTATCACCGAAACTTTTCCTAAATTGCTTTCCGTATTATTTTGATAAAAAATATAATAATCCTTTTTTCTCCGAGAATATTCTGTTTCCCGCATTAATTTTATTTTGAACTGAAAACTTCATTGGTTAGGATATTACTATAACTAAGTTAATTAAGCTAATGGTTGTTAATAATACATATCCAGCTCACACGCAGGCATAGACACATAGGGAGATATTAGCCATGTGGCATAGTACTAGTAGTTAGCGCCTGATAAGGCAGCTCCTGTGAATTCCTCAAAATTGTATTGATTAATGTAGATGCTAATTGCATTGATTGTATACATTATATATCTATGTACTGTAAAGCACTTTAGAGTGGCTTATTCTAGCTAGATAGAACGCTATATCAAATATTGTGTATTATTATTATTATTAATGTTGATGCAGAAGAAACCAGACAAAATCAACCATTAATACGCATGTATTACGTACCCTAGGTAAGAAATGACTGAGAAGCTCTCCTGGTATCCACTGTGTGTTATTGTGGCTTGCCTGGTACTACCTGCCTCATGTGAAGGTATGTAAACACTTTCAGTTTTCTCCTGCTTAAACTGTGGAAATCGAAAAAGAAGATATAAAAGAAGATTAAGAATAAAATAATACTATTCCACGTGATGTCATAGATAATATCATTTTTTGAACTTTTTCACAAAACAATGCATAACGAAATTGTTTAAATTTATCAATCAATCGATAGTGGACTTTATCTGTACATTTTCTTATTCAGACGGACCTAGTTTCTGCTTTCAAAATGGTGAGTTGAACGCACATATTCCCATATCAAAATATTACCTGACGATCCTAATGTCTGTATGCGATACATCAGACAAAGACAAATTCTTATTATTTTTTCGAACCAAAACTACTGTTTCATGACATAACCCGGTACAAATATAAAGCCATGTTTTATTTAAATAATCTATTGATTTGAATTGTTTTCCTGGTTTTCTTTTAATTTCTTTAATTCAAAACAAATGGGGTTTCGTACCTCCCCTTCGTTTTCATCGGTAATGTTTAGATGAATTGGAATTCCACCATTTTGGTCCATAGCTTCACTGATGAGTCCTTTAAGGACGAAACAGCTGTATGATGGAGTGTAATTAAGTTTTAAGTGTTTCTATTGTTTAACATATTGTTGAAGAAAAGAATGAAATAAGCAGCTCTGTTCGGTTTTGTGGTCGACCGTGTGTTGATTGGATTAATCCCGGTGTGTCGTCAGGATTTGTGGGCATCTTATGTTTTATCGTTTAACTCCTAGCAGTATGTTGAAAAATGTAATGGATAGGTTGACCCCTGATAATTTTGTGTTTGGTTGTTTGTGCAAAAATACAATAGCCAGATAGAGCAATAACAAATCTGTGTTCGGGATCCTCCTTATAAAATAGCAACTCAATACCCCTAGAGACTGTAACAAATACCATCCACCGCGAGATAGTGTAAGATGTTATAGATACATGTTGAGTATGGTCCCCATACACATTTAATGTGGTTCAGTGTTAAGTATAAAACACTATCACTCCCAAGGTGCATGAAAGCTTAAATTCAGTTTGAAATGTTTCCGGAATTTGTTTATCAAGAATCAGATATGAAGAATAAAAAACAAAACAGAACATATGGCTTTAACACCGAAATAAAAAAAGACTTGATGATTCCCGGCACCAAACAGGAATGGAAGTAATAATAGTCGCAAGTGTTCAGTGGTGTATCACATATTCCGTCTTTACGTATTGCAGAGTTATCTTCTCTTGTGAGCAGGGATTGATTGATACGTCTTTGGTTTGTGTGAGAAAATTACGTCATTTTCTCAAAAATTGATGACGTTACTCTCACAAAAAAATTACGCAACAATCAATACCTGCTCACAAGAGAAGATAACTCTGCAATATTAAAAGAAAGAAAAGAGGCCGTAATGACTCCTTTCAAATCTAGGTATGTATGTCGTTTTCCAAACACCAGTTGTATACATCATTTCAACTCTTGATATTCCATAGACAATACATTGCTTGAGATTTTTGCTGGACTTCGAGATCTTTTATATAAGCGGTGCCTGATACATAGTGAACACATTTCATAATATACATGACACTTCCATGTCTTAGATTGTAAGATACATCTCTGAACATTTCGTTCCTAGTCTACCGGATTTACATAGTGTCTAGTAGGAAGGTAAATAGCATATACAATATATATGCCAATGTCAAGACTTTAAGGGAAAAATAATGTTGCTATCTTAAGATAAAATATCATTAAGATATCCAGAAGGTGTATCAGACCGAGAGTTTTGCCTCCATTTTTAAATAGCCTCCCTTGTGGCCTCATTTTTCTTTAATGAAAACTGTCTTTACAGATCCATGTCAAATAGCTTTGCATACTCTGGATGTGTATGGACGGTCGACAGCCTGTCCGTACTATGGCAAAAATGGCCAATGTGATTCCAGTTTGACGGAGAGATGGTACAGGGTCGACTTGCCTATGGTAACCACGTGTCCAGATATCAACAGCTGCGGGACGTCGTATCCAGTCTGGCTGAACGGTAATATCTTCTTAATATTGTAATATAATTTTATTCTATTTCTAATAGATAAAACTGTTGCATGCTAAAAGACACGCGGTAATTGAATTGTGCACACAGGTTCTGGATTTCTATTTTCTCTATCATTACACAATGACCCGGATCTGTAATGAAACAGAATTATGTCACTTTGTCATTTCTGCGTTTTAATTAACATCTCATGACCAAGATGCAAACACTTTGCTATTTCTTTCCTGGAGTATGCAAACACATTAATCCAAGGCTATGTTGTTCTTTCGGATCACAATTTAATTGTTTGTATCGTTAAAGATTATATATCATATCAAAATAAATATGAAAATGAAGGTCACACACACACACACACACACACATACACGCACACACACACACACACACACACACACACACACACACACACACACAGAGAGGGGTAATTGCACTTTTAAATTAAGTTATAGATGATTTCACAATATTATATTATATCATATACCTGTGTAACGACAAAGATGGAGATGAACGTACCACACACATATAAACGCAGAGGTGATTGCATCTCTTACATTTAATAATATATACTGTATGGCATTAATGAAATACACTACATCAGAGAAATATGTTTAAATTTTGATTTCTTTTCATTCACCATAGAAGCGATCCAGTACTATTTATCGAGCTTTACTTGAAGTTTCAATTTATTTTATATAACTTAGGAAAATATACTATTTCAAAGTAACTAGCGGTATTCAAAGTAATTAACAGTACAAAGAATATCAAACGATATATAAAAGCACGCACAAAAGCCAGTTAGGGAAGTCAACATATTTGATTGATTATATTCTACGTATAACTGATTGCAAGGGAATCGAATTGCAGGAAGTATACCATTTGTTCTCCCGGTTGTTCACAAAACCCATAATACAATTTATTATATAATACCTGGTATTTCCGTGTAATATTGCCGTTCAATAAAAACAATATAGCACACGTATAATAAACATGCAAATGAGTCTTGTCACCGTGGGAATCAGATCATATTTCTACGCACTGCAACTTCTGTAAACAAAATGGCTGACCTCGTTACCGAAGATACTGTTTGTATTGATTGTAGAGGCAGGGGCATTTTGAAATATTTCATCCATAAACAACTATTCTCATATCAACACAAGGAGATCTCCCCGATACTTCACACAAATTCAACAGCCGTATGCTCAAATTTCACTTCAACTTATCTGACACACACAATCAATGGCGTTCACGTGTAACCGGTCAACTTCGTCAGTGTTCTAGGATCATGGCGGATATCACAGGACATTTTTCGGCTCAGAGACAAGCGGAAATATCGAGGTTCACATTCAAAAATGACCCCTTCCCAAGAAACGCGCCCGTTTATTGAAAGTGACCGTGACTCCGAGTCCCAGTGAAGTTTTAAAAAGTGCCGACTTCGATATGTGTATTGTGATGACCTTTACCTTGACAGTGCACGCGTCGTTTTGTCAAACTATGTGACGTCACAATCATTTTCGTAAACGCTGGGCCTTTATTGATTGATGAAAACATATATAAATCATTGTTTGTTCATTTAAACGGTTCTCGAGGAGAAGTTTCGGGAACTAATGTGTGTTGCGCAGCGAGCTCCAAACTTTATGCATGTAATGCGACTTTTCGTCAGTCGTCGCTATATATGTCTAGAGGAGACGTATCGAGAACAATGATGTAGGGTGTTTCTCGAATTATATAATAAATAGAATCTAACACTCGTGTTCATGTAATATTGAATTTATTAATCTCGTTTATTAATTTCATATGAAATTAATAAGCTCGTTTAATGAATTCAATATTAAATGAATACTCGTGTCAGATCCTCTATATATGCCATGTTTCAACGTTACCTGGAGGAATTTATCTTCATTGGTTAAGTCGCATTATTTGTTTTTTCTTGTAAATCAATTTGTAATATATTTGTTATTTGTGGGGTTTTACGTATGACTTCATACCGTTTTATAATTGTTTTATTATTGATTGAAGTATATACAAAATGCAGTATTATTGTAAAGACGGGTTTTCTTCGGTGGTTTAGACGGGGATATATGTAAAACAAAATAACGGTATCTTGTCATGCCTGGAAGTGATATTTACATAAACAGATATTTTTGACCCTTACAATTATGCAGTACATATAAAAAATTGTGCTGATTAAGTTGATATTATATAGATTATTAAACATTAGCAAAATACATGAAATTTTTGTTTCCAAATATCACCTTATACGGATGAAGTAGGAAAGGCATGTTTGGGCTGTTACTTAGGATACTATGATTATCTCTGATCAAGTTTCTTATCATCTTAAATGTCTTTATCAATTGTTGAGATATTTTACGTTTTACTATAAAGCCACTCACAACGGTTTTCTGAAATCTTAAAAATGACACAATTACAGTAAATAATCAAAATTAAAATAGATTATGTTAAAATGTATGTAAAGCAATTTAATTTTTTTAATTTTAGCGTTGTACACAAAAATATCTACTGATGATAATTTCTCCTGTACAGGCACTCTACCAACCAACGGTACGGTGACGAGGAAGGCTTGTATGCGTGGATATACGTCTTGTTGTGAGAAGGAATACACCATTGTCCTCAAGAAATGTACAACTTTCATGGCATACTGTTTACAGCACACGACGGGGTGTGCTGAACGGTATTGCTTTGGTATGTTACTGCCTTTCTATCACGAACTAAGTCTGAAATATTATTAATAAAACATCAACGCGAATTGCGAATTGAGCAAAGAGAGCTCAGAGGGCATTTCATGTTAGATAGTGTCTGGCAGGACTAACACCATGACAATAGTATGTTTCATATAATGCTTAACGAAGTGTTTGTCATGTTTTTTGAAAATGCATAAACAGGCCCACATATACAGAAAGTAGTAACAGTGGTCGACTGCCTGAACTTAAACTACAAATAATACTTGGATCTTTAGTTTTTACTTTTTAGTTCCTTCTTTGACACCAACGGGTGTTCCTAGTTTGGGCTTAGTGACAAAGGTTTATAATCACGTGACTGGATACATTAAGAACCATGCGTGCTGCGTGATGCCAGGAACATATTTGGAATAATGGTTTCTCCTTCAACAAATCAAAAGTGCATATATGTGAACGATCAACTTCTTTGTTATTCTGTAATGTTAGATTTCAAAGTTAAAGAGGGATGAAATCAGCTTTAATCAGTATCAATCAGGATGCAATCAGCATTAATCAGGATGAAATCAGCAATAATCTCAAACAAGAAGACCATTTAGGCATCAAGGAGACACAAAACCATTATCAACATATTTTTACTGGTAACGGTAACTGGTACTATAGTCCAACATACTACCCCCTATATTAGCAAATGAGGTATCAAATGGAGCTTTCAATGACATAATATTCTTGTATACTATGTTTGAGCAAATTCAAGACATCGGGAGGGACCGTTGGAACTACCTTGGCACATACCCATAAATGTGTTATCAGTCGGACACTAAGTCGGCAACGTTTACTGGCCTTTAGAACGTACATGAAACGCGTTACGAATGTCCTGGCATGCTCACGTGAACAATCCTCCAGAAACAATTTGGCAAAAAAAGAAAAACAGAAAATAATAGTTAGAAGGAGCGCATCAGAAACAAAAGGTCACCCATTGCATTTCGAAGACTAAATATCACATACACGAACAAGTCACTGAAATGGTTTCATCACCAAATGTGCTGTTCATTTTGGATAAATATATCAAATAGTTTTTAAAAAATATGCAGGATTGAATGACCAAAGGTTTAGATGTATACTTCTCTATTACAGGTTCTTCTGGTTTTTGCCCGGTGCCTACAATATCTAATGCACCTGTGACGTTAACATCAATATCAACTGGCGTGATCACATCCATATCATCATTTACTGGTAAGTTGAATCAAGACCATCATCTACAGTTTCAATCACATCCACACCATCAACAACAGTAAAGATCACATCCTCGCCATCATATATACAGGTATGGTCACATCCACACCATCATGTACTGGTAAGATCACATCCACACCATCAACTCCAGTAAAGATCACATACTCACCAGCATCTACAGGTATGATCACATCCACACCATCATGTACTGGTAAGATCACATCCACACCATCAACTACAGTAAAGATCACATCCTCACCATCATCTACAGGTATGGTCACATCCACACCATCATCTTCTGGTATGATCACATCCACACCATCATGTACTGGTATGATCACATCCACACCATCAACTACAGTAAAGATCACATACTCACCAGCATCTACAGGTATGATCACATCCACACCATCATGTACTGGTAAGATCACATACTCACCATCATCTACAGGTATGATCACATCCACACCTCATGTACTGATAAGATCACATCCACACCATCATGTACTGGTAAGAACACATCCACACCATAATCTACAATTAAGATCACATCACCATCAACATCTACTCGTAAGATCACATCCACACCATAATCTACTGTTTTCATCACAGCACCACCATCATCTACAGCTAAGATCACATCCACGCCATAATCCACAGTTATGGTCAAATCCACACCATAATCTACTCATTAGATGACTTCCACACCATTATCTACAGTTACGATCACATCCACACCATTATCTACAGTTACGATCACATCCACACCATCATCTAGAGTTACGATCACATTCACACCATCATCTACAGTTACGAGCACATCCACCCCATTATCTACAGTTACGTTCACATCCACACCATTATCTACAGTTACGATCACATCCACACCATCATCTACAGTTACGATCACATTCACACCATCATCTACAGTTACGAGCACATCCACACCATTATCTACAGTTACGTTCACATCCACACCATTATCTACAGTTACGATCACATCCACACCATCATCTACTGGTAGATCACATCCACACCATCATCTACAGTTACGATCACATCCACACCATTATCTAAAGTTACGATCACATCCACACCATTATCTACTGGTAGATCACATCCACACCATCATCTACAATTACGATCACATCCACAACATCATCTACAGTTACGATCACATCCACACCATCATCTACGGTTACGATCACATCCACGGCATCATCTACTGGTAGATCACTTCAACACCATCATCTACTGTTAGATCACATCCACACCCTCATCTACAGTTACGCTCACATCCACACCATCACCAACTGGTAGATCACATTCACACCATCATCTACAGATACGATCACATCCACCCCATTATCTACAGTTCCCATCTCACATCCACACCATCAACTACAGTAAAGATCACATCCACACCACCATCTACTGGTAGCTCCCAGCCACACCATCATTTCCTGGTAAGATCACATCCATACCTTCATCTACAGTTACGATTACATCCACACCATCATCAACTGGTAGATCACATTCACACCATCATCTACAGTTCCGATCACATCCACACCATTATCAACAGTTCCCAACACATCCACACCATTATGTACTGATAAGATCACATCCACACATCACATCCACACCATTGTCAACAGTTCCCATCACATCACCTCCATAATCTACTCATTAGATCAGTTTCACACCATCATCTACTGGTCGATCACAGCCACACCATCATCTACAATTACGATCACATCCACAACATTATCTACTGGTAGATCACGTCAACACCATCAACTACTGGCAAGATCGCATCTACACCTTATCCACACCATCATCTAAAGTTACGATCACATCCAAACCATCATCTACAGTTACGAGCACATCCCCACCATTATCTACAGTTAAGATCACATCCACAACATCATCTACTGGTCGATCACATCCACAGCATCATCTTCCGGTAGATCACATCCCCACCATCATATACAGTTACGATCACATCCACACCATAATCTACTCATTAGATCAGTTCCACCCCATCATCTACAATTACGATCACATCCACAATCTACTGGTAGATCACTTCAACACCATCATCTACTGTTAGATCACATCCACTCCAACATCTTCCGGTAAGATCACATCCACTCCAACATCTTCCGGTAAGATCACATCCACGCGATCATCTACTGATAGATCACGTCCACACCATTATCTACAGGTAGATCACATCCACACCATAATCTACAATTAAGATCACAGTACCATCAACATCTACTCGTAAGATCACATCCACAATCTACTGGTAGATCACCTCCACATCATTATCTACTGGGAGATCACATCCACACCATAATCTACAATTAAGATCACAGTACCATCAACATCTACTCGTAAGATCACATCCACAACATTATCTACTGGTAGATCAAATCCACACCATCATCTATGGTTACGATCACATCCACCCCATCCTCTACAATTACGATCACATCCACTCCATCAGCTACTGGTAAATCACTTCTACACCATTATCTACTGGTATATCACATCCACACCATTGTCAACAGTTCCCATCACATCTACACCATTATCTACAGTCCCCATCACAACCACACCATTATCTACCCTTCCCATCCCATCCACTCCATAATCTACTATCATCTACAGTTACGATTACATCCACACCATCATCCACTGGTAGATCACATTCACACCATCATCTACAGATACGATCACATCCACACTATTATCTACTGGTAGATCGCATCCACACCATCATCTAAAGTTACGATCACATCCATACCATCATCTCCACACCATCAACTACAGTAAAGATCGCATCCTCCCCATCATGTACAGGTATGGTCACATCCACACCATGTTCCATTGGTAGATCAGTTCACATCCACACCATTAACTACTGGTAGATCACATCGACACCATCAACTACTGGTAAGTAGATCACATTCACACAATTATCTACTGGTAGATCTCATCCACACCATTATCTACACTTCCCATCACATCCACTCCATAATCTACTATCATCTACAGTTACGAGCACATCCACACCATTATCAACAGTTCCCAACACATCCACACCATTATCAACAGTTCCCATCACATCCACACTCTCATCTACTGGTAAGATCGCATCCACGCCATTATCTACTGGTAGCTCACATCCACACATCACATCCACACCATCTTCTACAGTTACGATCACAACCACACCATCATCTACTAGTAGATCACATCCACACCCTCATCTACCGTTACGATCACATCCACCCCATTATCTAAAGTTACAATCACATCCACACCATTAACTACTGGTAGATCACATTCACACCATCATCTACAGATACAATCACAACCACACCATTATCTACCCTTCCCATCCCATCCACTCCATAATCTACAGTTCCCATCAAATCCACCATCATCTACAGTTCCCATCACACCCCCACCATTATCTACAGTTACGATCAAATCCACACCATAATCTACTCATCCACACCATCATCTAAAGTTACGATCACATCCATACCATCATCTACTGGTAGAACACATCCACACCATCATCTATGGTTACGATCACATCCACGGCATCATCTACTGGTAGATTACATCCACACCATCATCCACAGGTAGATAACATCCACACCATCATCAACTGGTAGATCACATCCACGACATTATCTACTGGTAGATCTCATCAACACCATCATCTACTGGTCGATCACAGCCACACCATTATCTACAGTGCCCATCACATCCACACCATCTTCTACAGTTACGATCACAACCACACCATCATCTACTAGTAGATCACATCCACACCACCATCTACTGGTAGCTCCAATCCACTCCAATATTTCCTGGTAAGATCACATCCATCCCATCATCTACAGTTACTATCACATCCACACCATTAACTACTGGTAGATCACATCCATCCCATCATCTACAGTTACGAGCACATCCCCACCATTATCTACAGTTCCCATCACAACCACACCATCATCTACTGGTCGATCACAGCCACACCATCATCTACAATTACCATCACATCCACAACATCATCTACTGGTAGAACACAGCCACACCATCATCTACATTAAAGATCACATCCACACCACCATCTACAGTTACGATCTCATCCACACCATTATCTAAAGTTACAATCACATCCACACCATCTTCTACAGTTACGATCACAACCACACCATCATCTACTTGTAAGATCACATCCCCCCCTTCATCTCCTGGTAGATCACATCCACGCCATCATCTACTGGTAGCTCACATCCACACCATCATCTACTGGTAGATCACATCAACACCATCAACTACTGGTAAGATCGCATCTACACCTTTATCTACTGGTAGATCACATCCACACCATCATCTACAGTTACGATCACATCCACTCCATAATATACTCATTAGATCAGTTCCACACCATCATCTACTGGTAGATCACATCAACGCCATCATCTACAGGTAAGATCACATCCACGCCATCATCTACTGGTACAACATGGAGCCTTAAACGTATATGTATACGATCGACTTGTATACGTGGCTAGTCACATCAATTATATTTGTTTTTATCGTATACTACGCATCAAACAGGTTAAAGTATGCGTGCAAATTTACATCTGTCACTGTGATCGAAAAAAAGCTAAATCGTTATAACTGTTGTTACTATCACATTCATTAATATTCTGTATAAACCGTTTTTATATTTTGTTCTCAGTTATTATTTCTTCTATTGAAGATGATAATTCTCCACCAACCATATTTCCAACGCCGACTACACCAGCGACCAACACAAGTCCCGGAGACACGCCATCTGATCCGGCTGCCTTAGGTAACATTGGTAAAGTTGATTTGAAGGTACCACTTTTCAGGTGAACTTCTATCGTTTTCTTATCGAATCGAAAAGTATTTGTAGAAACGCAACAGTACTTCTTTTGAGTTTTGAGTAAAAAAGTGTCAGCTTACTCGTTTTTCCTCATTTTCTCTAACGCCGTTGTAGACTTTAGCCCATGTGTTTACTTTCAATACTCAAAAAACCGATGACGTGAACAAACTTACGTCATGCGTGGAGCGATTTGCACAAAACCAGGTCACCGAAACAGGTGTAGCAAAGTAACAGTTCCTCAGACGATATTGAAATTAACACTATCAATTATAAGATTAATTACGTGAATATTCAACTTTGGAGCATGGAGGAACTAAATGATGGCTTTATTTCGCAACATAGAAGTAAAGGTAATCCCGGTCTGATTGAAATATTTATAGAGAATAATATGAAAAAATACCAACTACATCTAAAGTATAGAAATCGCAGATTACGAAACCAAAACATTATAGAACAATGATAAATATTTTATGGTATGCCAGGACAATCTTTTAACGTTCTATTTTCATTGAAAAAAAATATTAACATTTTCTTGTTTTTGAAACAGATATACTACAAACATGTTTATAAGTATAACGACTTCCAATAATTTTCCCGTCACCCTGAAAGCTGGACGAACTTTTTGGTTGTATCAACAATGTTATTCAACTAATTTCAGCTCTAAAAAATGTCATTGAGAACCACTTTAAAAGAAACATTATAGAAAGGTTTTTTCCGAGATCAATGAACATATTTGCGATTGGCAATCTGTTATGCAGTTAGGAATACTTCTTTTGCTGAAATCAGATTGACTTGTTAATTCTATTTTACATAGTGGGCGGAACTATTGGTGGTGTCCTTGCATTAGCTGTTATCTGTGGGATTATTTATGCTTTATGGAAACTTTAGTACGTACTTGTTTTCCATTATATAAATGTACGTTACAATAATGAAAAATGTTGACATGTCCATCACGATAAAAGCATTGATTATAGCTCTGCAATACTATTTAAAGAATCAATATAATCATAATCAAATTAAATAACTTTCTAAACTTTCCTAAATAAAGTATGTGTATGTATAAACAAAAGCATTGACTATTCTCGTAGTATGTTATAAATTGATACATTCTATATGGTCATATTGTATGAAAAGCACATCAAAGGCTAGAATGAAATATCCTTAGGATGAAATAGTGAGAATGATTGAGTTCCTGAGCGGCAGAAGTTACAATATAAATATAAATAGTATCGAGTAAACCACTCAACTTTGTAGTACTTTAAACAGGACTTACATTTCTTTTACTATTATATTTTATTTCTACTTATACTTTTGATTTATATACAGTCGTAACCTTAATAAATCTGGAGGTGGCAGTGAGAAAAAGACCAGAAAGGAGAAAGACCAGAACCCATACTGCGATGTTAGAGGTAATTGCTATTTTTTCGGTTTGTCAAGAATCTGTAATGTATGTAGTATAATTACTTAAAAAAAAGTACCGAAATAAGCCAATTAAAAATAGGAGTTTTCTGCTCACTGTTTTTAGGGATAAAGCAGACCAGGATTTATTGTATTGATGTTCACGCACACCTACATACCCTTACACATCTACACACTTTCAACGACTCATTTTAGATTGCTGGTTCGCCTGTTAAAAAAATCTGAAGAACAGAAAAACAACGTTGCTCTAGTATATCAATGATTAATAAGTAATTAATGACATAAAATAACTTTATTTTGATTTTATTCGCTAATATTGTTCAGTATATGCATACCATGTTAAACATATGAGTTAAAATATGTGTGTGCTGATTCAATAAACTGGTTTATCACTGATATTTACATCTTTTTGTAGATATCGTATCGGATAGGTAAGATACACATTTTTTTCAGATGATAGCATGCATTGTCAAAGGTCTATGAGGCGTTTCATATAAATGGTTGATGCGTTAATATCATTTCAAGCTGATCATGGTATGTAGTGTATAGCTACACGTTTTCCCTCAGTATAAAGTTTGTAGTCGCATATGTTTCAATCTTATTCAGTGTGCACAAGCATGCTTATCCATAGTGTATAGTAACTGGATCGTGTTTATCAACTTTATTTGATAAAATACTTTTCCGGTTTGCGGTGAGTAGTTCCAGCTGAATTCACGGTATTCAATGTTAAGTAACTTGTCCGTCAAAAGTAACGCGTCAGATAAATACAAAAAAAACACACTTTAAAAACACATTTTCCAAAGTTGTGTTGATCACATGGACTGTTTTTGTCTTATCTTATTTGTATTTGATTTACTATTAGTGCGCAGTACAGCACTGTTGACATCAGCACCATGGAAGCCGTCCACACCTACACTGGTCTCAGCCAACCAAATCAAGGTATGCCAGTTAGTGTCTCTTAAAATTTCGTTACTTTTCCATATACATCTGATACATGTTTTTAAGTACGTTAACTTTTTAATTAATCATATGAGACAATTTGTAAGTGTTTCATGAAAGACAATACTCCAAGCTAAAATAAATCGACTAAAATATATACAATATACTGTGTACCTGGAAACGTTCGCCCTTTCCAATTGCAGCAGTAAAATGCATATTCGCCCAGTGTTCATTCCGCACGACATTACTATGTTTATTAAGTAGTTTATTAATGTTCGTTGTATATAAATTCGACCTGTTTGCAGACGGCAAAAAAAGCCGAAGTTAAACTGAGGCAACAGTTTCACAGAATACAGTAGTTCAAAAAGTCACAGTTAATTAAGAGCGAAGTCGTCAACATTTAACATGAAACTGCATGGTGAAATGACATTCGTGGTTTTACACGGCTTCAGTGGTGTCTCGAATAAATAAATATCATATATTCAATTTGTTAGTATGCAGCAACTACTGATTGATTTTGTAAAATGTTAAATCTCAAAATCATATTTTCACGTTCGTATAATCGTTAATACTGAGAATAACATCATGTTCATGGACGAAATGTAGACAGTTCTGTCGCGGTCTCTAGATTCCATTCTCTATAGAAACATAAACCAAGTTTTGTATTTACGGTCGTTATTCCAATGTGTTGTGCATATATTTTGTATTGTATCAAGAGCTTTAAAGGAGCAACATACATTTTAATGATGATATACATGTTACATTGTTTTTGTACTTACAGCTGTAGACAAACGGAAAAGGTATGTGATAAGCTAGCTCGGAAATTTCTCATGTTCAATAATATTTAGCGCTCTTTATTTTTGATTAGATATTTTATTTTTCCTTATAGATCAAACGAGTGCGTATCTTTTGGATGTTTTTTGGTGATTTAAATTTGACATGATATATAGCAAAAAGTTCTTGTTATAAATGTAAATCATAACCAGCACAATTACAATAAACGACCGTTTTGTACTGACTCATTACTGTTTTTATTATAATGAATCATCTTTGAAGAAACCCGTACGAAGTTCTTGGTTCCCGGAATCCAGTTCCAATGTATGATCAAGTAAATACCGGTAAGATTTCAGTTCAGATATATGTTTCCCCCGCCTTGTTTACATAATTTTATTGTATATATAGCGTAGTATTTTAAACAGACAGACATCAGAAATATGATGAAAGTTTAGGCAAGAATGTTGATAAATGAAATTTTTTGATCACTGATTTGTATAGTCTAGTTTAGTTTTATGGAGCGTGTTACGAGATCACGTTCCTTGATTAGTTAGTACATTAATGAAGTTTTATAACGAAACATATGATTTCAAGAAGGTATTGCTGTGATTTAAAAAAAAATTAGTTTAGAGGTCGAAATATTTTGTTGATGAATTGGTTCTCCTTTTTTCTCTCCAGAAAACCCACAAATATCTGCACCGGCACCCAGGTATGCGTATTGTTACAACAAAACACTATTGTCACCTTTTTCCAGCGTCATTTCGTTATATGCATTATTTTGTTTTGCTATATTATTATTTTATAATACTTTAATCTTTATAACACTTGTTAAAATTTTATCAATAATTATGTCAGTATCATTTTTATTGATTTTGTATCAGTTAAAGCAAATTACCAAATACACGTACATAACATTGACTTATTTAAATTTTAATGTAAGTATTCATTCTTAAGAAACAAGCACGGATATCGTGATCCACAAAACCCTGTCCCAATATATGATCAAGTTGGAACCGGCGGTAAGTGTGTAGTTGTTACCTATTTCACCACTTTGTGTTGACCTTTTGCAATATATTGATACCCAATGTATATTACAAAGTACGTTTTCATACCTAACCTTCCACAAACATCACAAAATGTGGGGAACAACAGCTCAGCTGATGTAAAAAGTACTTTCAAAAGACAAAATTATTATAAACAGATATGACCATGTCAGTATTCTGTTTTTGTTGATTAAATTATCTTACGTATGCTTTTTTATCGTCATTGTCATTGCCACATATTTGCTTCATATATATCCGGTCGCTAAGGAAACGATGTCACGATCCATGTTTTAGTCTATTACACTATTAAAGTAATGTAATGAAATTTATGATTTAATAATTTATTGATATAAATCGAGAGGTCGAATAAAATAAAATGATTTGTCAATAAAACCATTATATTGTTTTGTATAGAAATTCCAAGAATACCAGCACAGACAACAAGGTATGCGCAATAGGTTTTTTCCTTATCTCTTTCTCAGTGTCAGTGGACTTACATAAGTTTGTATTTATCTTGTAATGATATTATTACATGATACCCTAACCTAAACGGTTTTTTTAAGAATATCAGTTCGCTGAAACACCATTACAATTTCGCATGTATTGCTTCTTTGTCTAATATTTAATTTCATATCCATAAATTATTACTGATTGATTTTGTTATCTGTTAAGACATAAATAACGATTATCATAATGACATTAAACGTAAATTTTGAACTAACGTATTCACGTGTTCAACATAATGATTACTACTTGAAGAAACCAGTACGAGGTTCTTGGTCCACTCAATCCTGTTCCAGTCTATGATGAAGTCAACACTGGTAAGGTTGTCTTTTGTTTTTTTTAACTTGTAATATATTGATACCATTTACTATATTCCACAGTGCTAACTCGTCGTACCTACATGTAATATAAGTTGCATCACCTACCATAAAGATTTCAACTGTTCTGATGTGTCAGAACTTTTAAATGACAATGTTATATAAATAGATTGACGTCAAAATATGACGATATAAATATTCGACCAATGTATTCATGAAATGTTTTCTATCACTATTTCTCAATATTGGTTTTAACTACAAATCGCCTGACGAAGGAAAGACGTTCGAGGTCCTCGATTGGTTTGAAACAGGTCACAACCTCGAAATGATATGTAAATACAAACATTTTCTTTACTATTTTCTCCAGAAAGTCAACGAATGACTGCACAATCAACAAGGTATGCACAAGTTTTCTTTTTTAAAGATTAGCCACTGTTGTCCTTTGCTTTGTGTGCTTGTTTATGCGTTTTGTCGATATTTAAATCATTTATTGTAATTTCATTATTACACGATACTTTATTATTCATTAAACTTGTTTTGATCATGTCATTTCACTGATACACATTCAATATGTAGCACATGCATTGCTTTTCTTGTAATATATCATCAGAAATATTAAACATTATTAAGGTTTTGTGTTCCATTTAGACATTAATAATGACTATCATCATGTTTTCAAGATTAAATTGTGTACTTATCACAACGTTTCAAAGATATTAATTTCTACTTGAAGAATCCGGCACGACGTTTCACGGAACCCTGTTCCAGTTAACAATGAAGTAAAGATTGATGGTAAGCTGTTTTATTTTAAAAAAACACGCTGTACTTTCAACTTTTTTTTATCTATCGATACCGTTTTTCGTTTTCATTTCAATTTTTCTTTTCAACAGATTTTATTGACTTATTTATGTCAATTGGATTGGACATCAGGCTAGGCCTATTTAAGTCCTTTCCAAACTTATTTACAAACATTACATATATTCTGTCATAACAATCCAATTAAATAGTGCAGGGGAGATAACCCCAATTAAGCTTGTGAAATGAACATTTTACAACTTTTATTTAATCTTTTTCTGTTTATGATTTAGATATTAACAATTAAATAAATCATGTATATTTATTGACAACCCATCCTACATAAAATCCAAGGGATACAGGCCCAAAAGTCACTGTGTATAAACGCATAGGCCATCCAACCACTGGATATATAGGATAAGTTACCAAGAAATAAACATTTTGTAAAATTTCAGAATATGATATGGATTCATATAGGAAAATGTAGTTATTATTATATATTATTGGAGTTGATTCTCTTAACATTTATTTAAGAAGGCACTATGTAACTATGAATAGTTAGAACAGGTTATAAAATAGTACACTCATATATTCCATCCAGTCAAGCCGAACACCAGAGATGTTGTGAAGATAGATATACACCAGTATCAATACTTATTAGCAGAGTGATCATGACACTATAAATAATAGTATCACTTTCAATGTAAAGTTTTGCTGTAAGTGAGATAACATATCAAGCCTATTAGTTTGACAAATGTAGTCAGATATACTTTGTAAAATGGATATGTTTTTACATCAATATTTTACAGTGTTACGTCTACGTTGCTTACCCATAATTGTCGTCAATGATGCAAAATACACCAACCCTTCCGGATCACCTGGTTATATACCCCCTGTACTTTTTCATAGGTCTCACAATGTTTTGTTCATATCGTCCCCAAAGTTGACCGATTTTGAGTTTAAATTATGGTTTAGTATCTTAACGGTTTATCTTGTTGTATATTATTCTGTTTCCTAGAATATCTGTGTTAATAGAAACATTTTATCTATCTTTCAGAAAATTAACGAATGCCTGCACAGACAACAGGGTATAATTAATAGTAGTCACAAGACCCTGTTTTGATTTTTTTCCTATTGTCATGTCGGTTTATTTTTATCGTTTTTTTTTTGTAGTGGTATTACTACATTGTACTTTTTAATGGAACGTGCCTTAATGTTATCAGCTCACAGACAAACTGTCACAATATTGCCCATGTATTTAAGGGATTAATGTATCAACTAAAACATTAAAAACGTTTCTCCATTCACGTACTGTTTGAGAACAAGCATCAACAATTGAAGTGTGTCTTCAAGGCACATAGATGTACTCTAACTTCTATGTAATGTTTGTAAAATGCTTAACATTATTTGGGGAAATATAGATTTGTTCTTGAAGATGTTTAAAATGAAGCTTATACTTATCTATGCGTTCACGTTTACCGAAGTATTTGCGAGATAACCGAAGCTGACTCTAGTTAGTGTCACTGACATAAATAATGAAAGATCAGTAAAAACTCTTTCACTTTTTCAAACTTGCCATTCATAAAATTCATAAGAGAAATATACACATTATATATAATTTGGAACCTATTTGAAATGAGGATGGAGATCGTAATAAGGTTGCTTATTATTTAATGGGTTTTTTTACCAATGATTTACATTATTGTTTTTTTTATAATATATGCTGCGGTTGCCCTACATATGATATTTTGCATAATTTCCGAATATATAATATTTTTTTCAGATACTGTCGATGTTTTGTCGAAAATATGTCATACATTTAGATGTACGTTCATCCCTATTTGAGCCAAAAACGCAATAATGTGACCAAAATATTCTTTGAACAAAATGTTAACATGTAAACAATTGCAATAGATTTGTGTAGATGTAGCGAAGTTTGGAGAATTAAACTCATATGATCTCATGCAGTTACCATTTCTGCCACAGGAAATGAGAAAATCTGAAGAGAGTCACTTCCCTTACTTTGTCTTGGTAGAAAATCGATCTGCATTATGAACGATCAAATTACAAAACGTCAGCGAAATGTTGTTACCTATCAACCACTCCACTTGTTCGTGCATTATTACCAACTTCAATCAACAGTTATTCATTTAATTGTACAGTTGGCGGTTTTGATTTGCCACCTTTCGTTTTAAGAAACCCCAGATATTCCATGGCTTTTGATGGAAGCCTTTTGGTGTGCCACTTTTTCAGATTTGTTGTGTCTTATGATGCATAAGTATAGAACATATTCGTTGATTTATAATTAGATATATCTTGAGTCGTATTTGATACCTTGTCATTTATTAACTGACAATCGTTCTCAGTATTTGATGCTTGTTTCCAAACACTGATGCAAGCGGCATCGCATATCTTACCTGCACACGGTTATAAAAATCATGTGAAGAATATGCTAATTTCAAACACAAAAATGCCTCTGGCTATTTTAGGAGAGGGACATGACATGCCTTTAGTTGTTTAGTATTTTTAGGGAAGGGACATGGCATGTTTCAATTTGTGTGAGGTCCTCATCCATTTCTTATGTAGTTTTTAAACATTGCCTGCGGTGGTTTTAGTGAAGGGACATGCAATTTGTTTAATGTTTGTTCTATCTCTGTTGTATTTTTGGAGTTGGCTTCTATTTACGATTTCGGTTTTAGCAACATGACATCCTGGTGTCTGCTTTATTTACTTGCATTATGTTAGTCCCTCCTTACATTAAAGATATTGACAACGTTTAGCAATTATAATTTCACTAGCTTCTCCTGCTTGTGAGTTACTGAATTAATATATTGCTAATAAAGAAAAGAAATAGGGAATTATATCTTTGGAACTTCAACTGTTGCAAATCTGCAAAATGCCACAAGCATTTTGTGTTGTTTGCGCTCATGGCAATATGTTTAAAATAATTGAACTAAACAAGAATTACCAATAAAACGAATTCATGGAAACAGCATTTTATCTTTTTTTTTTTTTGATTTTGTTTAGTTTGTTGAGATTGTTTGTCATTGGATTCACAGCTGGAGATAGTATTTATGACAATATGATATCAGATAAAAAAATCAGTATATATTTGTTACTGCTATACTAGGTCAATTCGATTAAATGCCATACTGTGTACATTGCTTAAAATAAAATCATAATAACGAGTTGGAAGAAGAAAATAAAATGTTGATTATAAGTTAACGTTGAGACGTGGAGTAGAAATATCATTCCGAGAGAGAGAGAGTGAGAGAGATGGAATACACCGATCATCAAAATCAGCAGACTTTTATCTGTTCCATTGTCCTTCCTTGTTATTTGTTGCGATTCTTTCTGTTGCTATTTCCCTGAGCTTTGCTATATGTACCTGCAACCGAAAAATAGGATAATATAACAGCTTTCATATAGTGACCATGTCAATAATCAGCGTACACAAATCAGACTCTATTATACAACTATTATGTAAGTGGAGAGTGTATTTATCAAATGTGACATCTTATGTATATCATTAGAAAATTACTTTATTTCGCTTTATATGCGTCGAAAAAAGATAGCCTGCACTTGCATAGAGAATTTAAAAGGTCAAATTCTAGTCTTTAGATAGAAGCTTGCGTACCTTAAGACGAGCACCGATTCTTGGTAGTTTCTCTAGTACGAAATAGTACAGTGGGCATTGCAGAAACATCAGCTAGTGATAACAAGAAAAATATCTTGAATAGGAAGAACATGGGTTCAGATATGTAATTTTTGAATGTATATATTAGATAAAAAGATGTAGAAAGGGACCTACAATGACTCCAGCAGAGGATTGAACAGGTAATTGAATGGGTAAAGGGGAATACTATATTGTACATACAAATAAGGAAATATCAAAATATCATATACAAATACGACTTGTAATTACCTTAGCATAAAAGTAGGATTCTATCTCCTCCTCTGTAAGTATTGCTGCCTCTGTTGGCCTGTTGGACAAATAAGTGTATTTTGTTATACTGTTAATACGAAATACCTCTTTTGACCTTCTTTACCATATTTTACTTAAAACTCGTACAGAAAAAAAATGAAATTCAAAATCGATTCTCTCTATGAAATTGACAAAAAAAATCGATGTTATCATGGCTTTCCTTAGCTTAGGGTTTGTTATGTTGGATTTATAGTTTTTACGTTCCACACACGAAATCAAAACCCAAATACTAAGTACAAACGAAATGACAACAATAAAGACAGCTTAAGAGACAAAGGCAAACTGGCATATTCATTTTCACAATAGAAAAGCAGGCAGGACACTAATGCTGTAGGAGAAGAACATATCTTTTTCAAAATAGCTTATGACACCGAAATAACATAATTAAAAATCTGGTCATGTGCGATATATTGCTCCATAGGGTGTAATTACTATAAAACATGAGATTTTTATAACATCTATTCAAGTTTCGGATCAACGGTGTCATTTAACAGAAAAAGGCTGGTATGTAGCGCTTATGTTTCAAACATATGAAATGGTGGGCACAAAATCCAATGAATTTGAATGTCATACTTACTCAACGAAGAGACATACATCATCGCCTAGCCTATCGTCAGGAATCCCGATCACCTATTTGTTTAACACAAGATTCGTCAGTAGATTAAATGCATATAATACATTCAGTTGAATAAAATTATGCTTCAACAATCATGTGTTAAATGGTGATCATTTCAATTGTTCATTATTCTACAATAGTTCGTACACACATACAGTGTAGCACATAGACGATCGCTAATTTCATAAAAGTAACATGTACATGACCCTTTTTGCTATCCGGTCAAATCACGAAATACGATTGAATATTGAAGAAAGAAGAAACGTGTTAAACGCACAGAGGAGATGAACTTTTCCATCCAAGCTCCTCCTGAACTGCATTGTAAACACTGAGCATTTTTGTAAGAGGCAACCTACGAAGGCTCCGGTAAAAGCATGAGTTTGTTTCTGCGTCCTCTGCTTAGTGATAAATAATAAGTCTTAATCTAACCTGCTACAGATACTGCGAAACTTTGGACATTTTGTTTCTTCTATCGACTCTTTCTTTTCGGATTTTCCCCAATATCATCATTTTCATATGACCGTAGCTATTGTGAGAATGTTAGAACAAAGGTACAGACACACCAACTGATTCAGATGTTTCACGGATCAAGGATGCTTCATAGGAAATGTAGTTGAGAAGCGTAAGTGTCTTTATATCAATGACGGTTCGGGAAATCGAATTATTTCCATACCATGATCATTTAACGCCTTATAGCAGGAAAGCACCCTTGATCAAATCCTGGAACATTTAGAATGTAGCATTTTTACGGTTGTACAGTAGGCAGAGAAGGCACATTTTCAACAGGAACGCCTCAAGCAAAATATTGTTGATATCTATCGCATAATCCCATATGTGTATATCGCTAAGTAAAGTGTTCCAGGTCAAATCGCGTTGCTTTCTGTCACATAAGGGTTTAGGGAAAGTCACTAAAAGCAACAGTTCCCAAATTCCTCTTCGGATAAAGAGTATTGGAACGCGTTCTCATCGGTGGAACTTAAACAAGTTTCAGTCATGTTACTTACGATAGCTGTTTTGACCTTCGGATGAGACCTTGCTGTGTCCAATATTAGCTGTGGAAACACTTTCTCGCCCATATGTTTGAACGTCACACACTCTGCCATACGCCCAAGTAATTTTACATGGCCTGTTTTATCCATAACTCCAACGTCACTTCAAAATAGTTTTCCAAATAAGTATTTAAAGAACATTTGTAGTGAAATTATTTACTGTTAAGAATGTTTTCTTTGAGGGTTGCTTTTTTCGCGAGTTTCCACAATTCTATTTTTTTCTACGGGATTTTCTTTTTTTAACGATACTTCCCTACCGGAAATGTTTTTGAATATGTTTTCTGAATAAAACATTTTTTTTTATAATATATTGATTCATGAATTTTGCGCAATTCAGATCTAAAATACAATCACATCGTTTATATAATTGTACTGTTACAGTGTTGTTGGGTAAACATTTCCTGAACACAGTAATTCTTTAAGTGTGCATATTGTTATATTAAACATAGGGTTCTAGTGGAATATGATGTTGTCAACACCTACTGTACAAATAGGCTGTTAATTTCAATATATTTCCTTGGAGCTTACCCCATTTGGATCCAGTTACTGTTGCCCTTGACAGCAGCCGTCGTTGCTGGATCATTGAAGTAGCAGAGAAACGATGCCCATCCACGAACACAAACCTCGCCGATCTCATCAACAGCCAGCGTCTCGCCACACTTACCAACAATCTTCAACTGACACAGGAAGGAGTGATAATGATGTACAACAGTAACACAATAACATGCTAAACATAGGGGAATGTAACAGCAGGAATTAAGACATCAAAACATTGAAAAGAAATATTGATAATCCCCTCAGATACACCGAGCATTATAATATAGCAGTAAAATGAATTCTGTGCTGTATAGCTAGCAATTCATTATCGATAAGTCTCACGTAATAGTCAATGTGACTTATGTCATGATTCACTGCCGTCTACAGCATGGTGTTTTAACAGACAAAAACAAAATGCCACAAATAACTGAATATGCTTTATAATGAATCTTGCACCAGGACTCTGAACATGCTAGTAAAATTTACTTCACATTCGAGGTAAAGTATGTAATAACATAGTAAATCAATTGACCTACCTCCATGTGTGGTAGAGGAAAGCCGACAGAATTTCTTTGCTGTTCGGGTGTAGAATATAATTTCGACGTCATGGTGGCCTGGACTTCGGTGGAGCCATATGCAATCTACACGGTAGTGACAATATGATAAAGTCTGCACACGCCAATATTGATTTGTACTCATGCCAAAGGAAATCACTCATAAAGTGTATTGATCCATAACCATTTTGCTAATCGCAAACCGACACAACAATAATGCCGAAACAAGACATAGCTAAACCAGACACAATACCTCTTAATAATAAGATATGTGTATGTCGCGATATTTTAACAGCTTTTTGTACATTTTTTCCTATATGAATTGGTTGAATTTATTACCTCATTTCCAATTTGAATGAGAACCAAATTAACATTTGTCAATATGTTTATATATAAAATATGGCATATTACAAGTAGTCCCTTATAAAACCTCCTTACCATGGTATCTGGGAAGTGTTCGCAGATTCTGTTGAGATTGCTGCTACTCACACTTTGCCCGGTCACTACAACTGGTAATATGAGATACAATAAATTCCATATTATCAATGTATCATCAGTAGATTTCGTTAATCAAATTTCACAAGTCAAATTGAAACTCGTCAGCCAGAAAAAAAGTCTTTATTAGTGGTGATAACCAGTTAAAACGTATTGATTGCTGCGGTATTACTTGAAGCCCGTAACTATGATACCTGCCTGTATGAATTTAGCCGTAGCTAGTTGTTTGCAATGTTTAACACATGACCGTTGGTATATGGGTGTGATCGATATTTGGTTAAATGGAGATTACATTTATTTTTTTCAAATTCATGATAAATACACATTTTGTCATAACTGTACATTTAAATAATTCTGCCAAAAAGTGAAACTGTTTTTAATGAAAACATTATCATATTTAAACGTTAAAGTCGTTTTAAGAAAAGTGCAATATTTAGGCAGTGTCCGCATAAACAACATTTGTTTTACTATAATGGCGAAAGTCTATTCAGAAAAGGCTTAAAGATCATTTTTATTCAACGATTGAGGAATTGTGATGCAGTAGTGCGTTTACCAGCTCTTAGTGAAGATATATCGTAACGATTGAGATCGGGAGCATCCAACATCTTAATAATTTCGTATGGATATCCGCTGTACCAGGTAAGTCTGTAGAATCAAAGGTACTCTATAAGAATTCACGCACTCCATCTTAAAGAAATTAATTAAGCTTATGTTTAACTTTTCATATAAAATGAAAACTGTTAATACATGTACAGACTAACAAGTATACACTGCATATAGTATAAAACAAGGCAAGCAATACATAACCTGAAAAAATATGAAATATAATCAAATAACTGTCATACAATATGAGAAAAACGCTATATACCGCCAGTTTTGGAAAGGAAAATACCCTAAAGTACTATTGATTTAACTCAAGACTGACAAATACTTGAAACACATTCATGAGGGAAGTGTGGCAGGGTCCTTACTCACGTGCTTGACACGCAATCTTATATGAAGTTCATTGTAACCTCTAAATGCGAGTTCTTGTTTGTATGTGTGAGCTGGAGACTATACAGATTTCAGTCTGCTTTTTGTAGTTTCTGGTCGAGTGGAGAAACAAGTGTAAAAAAGGCTTGCTCAAGGACACATCCACACATTTCTCTGCGAAATCCGACACTACTAGGGACTTTTAGTCAATAGGTCGGTGCATCATCAAGAGAGCTTACGGTTCCCATATTATAAACACAGATGGAAGTTATTATAACTGTTTTCCGATGTTTTTTTATGTATGTTGAAATATACTACTATGGTGCAGACTACAGTATCAACGTACCTTTCCTGCTCTATGCATCGCATCAAACAGCTAATATCGCTCATGTAGAAGTCGACGTCAGAGGGCACGAACACCACGTGCATGGTCCGCCATTTATATACCACTTCTGTACACTTGATAACACACATGGCATCGTCAGTGACGGGATTCCGAACGCCGGCTACCTCAGGCTGTCGTCAATCGATTTAAACAATATGCTTTATAATGAGTATCTGCATAAATATTCAAAATAATAGTACACGTGACTTGCAGGAAGTTACGAATATACCATGGAACCGATAGCACAAGGAAGGTAGCAGTACTAGTAATTAATTTTAATTAAATGTGACGTAATTCACATTGTGATGTCATCATCACAGTTTGGTGATTGCCAGCTGAAACCAATCAGGGCAATTCTTGTAATTGGATACACGTACACATTATGGTGAAATGGATTCAATAAGTATCCAACACACACATAAACATGTTTATTTATCGAATATTTTTTTTCATTAAAAAACGCGCATAAAGAACATTATTTAATATCTTTAAATTTGGTAAATGCACGTGTGATTCTAATTGATTATGTTTACATAATATTTATCCAACAACCTTTGAAATCCAGTCCTCATAAAAAACGTTTCCGGCCATCACGTTTAATTAAAAAGAATTAAATATATAAGATGATACATTTATTATTTTAAACCATTGGGCAATAGTATGTCAGTAAGTTTGATATGAAACAAAATGTCTGAGGGACGGATGTCAATTTTTCCGCGCTAAATAATCCTATCCCTGTTTGTTTAATTCATATCTGTTACGAAATAAAGACAAGTGGACTCTTACCAAATTTCTTGGATTGCGCCTGTTGTAAAATCTTGCAAAATTTACCATATAGAATTGATTCCGACAAACAAACTTCACATCACCTGTTGTACCCTGAGGAAGATATACACAGAGAAAGGTCAATGTCGAAATGTCTGACACACACGCAATAAGACACACACATGTCACATGACCTATGATAATCGATAATAGGTGTAAATACAAAGAGTCGAATTGGGACGAAGCGGTAACTATTTATTTTTCATTTTTAAAGTTGACGGAATTCATATTGACATTAACCGTGCGTTATCATTTTATTTTTGAAAGAGTAATGATATTCGGTTTATGTTATTGATATATACATTGGTGTGTACTGTTTAAGTACTTCTTTTATAGTAATCAAATATTATTTTATAAAAATTTGGAAATGGGTATCGCATTAATGCGTGCTCACATTATAATTATCATGTAACTGAATGTTATATACTGAAACTGTAATTGGCGTTGTTATACCTAAGAACGACATTTCAAGCACGAAACGCGCTAAAATAAGATAACCACTAAAACATATCCATTTCCAGTATTTGATAATATACGGTAGCGATGTGTTCTATATTTACAACCAGGACAAAAAATCAGAACATAAAACGGTGAACGTTTGTGCCTAACTTATTACAACTTGCTTTATATCGAATTTACAGCTTCAAATCTTCTTTTACCACAGCATGTTTAAAACAGTTGATTCGAGCGTACCCTTTTTAAATGTCATTTTTGTTTATAGTTTATATTACAGTCGTGGAATTGAATGCGGATTTTTTAAGAAGAAACTTTTCGCACTAGTATATGAACTATACTTCTTAAAATATATAGGTTTTTATAATACTCATTTGGTCATAAATGTGTTTTGTGTACGTACAGATGTCGTCAGGATAATGGCTGATTCTTCACAACTAACAAGCGACCTTAAGGTGGAGAGTGTTTCGTCCAATACTGCCACGCCGGAGACCAGGAAATCAGCATACGATATGTAACTAAACAACAAAAAAATCGAATTTATAGCTACACCCACGAAAACATCTTACGATAATAATCAGCGATCCTGCTTATATCAAGAAAAACATTCTACTACATAAGCCACACAATTCGTCGAATCAAAACATTGCCATTATATATACATATCAAACAGACAAAAGATATCTTAAGTTTTGTTGTTTATGTATTAGTATCTATGCTAACTCACCCGAAATCACATTTTCCTTCCAAAGACACGACACCTATCAAACTTGAAGGTCTGTAAATAATACGGATAAAGGTCAGTTCTCTGGATTTTTGTTTTTATATACAATCATTCTATTTCTGGTATATCTGTGGATGTTACTTCACATGTAATTTGTTTCGTGGATATTGAACCTGCATCAAAACATCACCAATGTTAGCTTCGTTAATGTTGTATGTATCAGTATTGCAATGCTTGCAGTACGGATGAGAAACAATATATGCTAGCATGCTGAACATTCAAATGAACCACGAGGTTTAACATAGAATGTTTCATTATGGCAGAATTTCAGGCGAACAAGTATGTGTATTATACGCATTGTTAATATTACAGGTTTTACGTAAGCCTGTCTTTATGCTATTAGTATTGATAATGATGTTAACATGTTTAGTTTGAATGTAAAATGATAAAAACTCCTACCTGATATCACTATTCTTCACAACGAGGTCGTTTAATAAAACCTTTACTTCCGGTATAACTAAGCTTCCGACAAATATCACCGACGGGTTTGTCTTAAAGTACAAACACAATAACAAGCTCAATTTTAAAGTCCTGCACTAATGAGACTATGTTTACTTTTCGTGTAAAATAAAAATACATCAAACAAACACAGTGCTCGTGCTGATTAACACGGATATATCGCCAGGTCGGCACTTACATCAGTACCAGAGCAGAATGGTATCACAATGTCGAAACAAACAGACTAAACTGGAAGTAATCATATCATTATGTCAATATCAAAAACGATATCTAAAACTAACTTTGAAATAAAAACACAACCAAAAAGACATCTTCTGGAAAAAAAGTGCATGAAATCATAAGAAAGGATGATTTATCAAACAATTTTGTATTTGTGATCTGTAATGTTTTTACCTTCAAAAGGACGAGGGTTTATACATAAAATGTCTTATTATACTCGAGTTAAGTGCAACATTGTCTTACGTTCAGTTGAATTAGTGTAACATTTTTTTTTCTTTTTCATTGGTCTTTTTAGAGATTGGCATCCTACCTTTAAACTGACAGGAAAGAATTTCTCAAACGGGTACCGCATCGTAGGCTATAAATAAATACAGAAAGTGTTGATAAAATACTATGTTTATTTATAGATATCATACAACTTGTATCGTTTGTGATATGTCAATCTATCGAAGTATTTGTAATGTATCAATCTAGTATGCTCATTGCTTATATCGAACATTTTCTTACAATGTAGACATATCAAGATATGCGATTGTTCTATTTATTTGTGCCACCAATTTAACAGTGGTAATTGCCAATTGTGCTTCCCCAACTTTCCAAATTTTAACAATTTTTAAAACACGTACAACTTGGCATAGAGGATTTAATCAGTAAATCAAGTGCAAAAATTTCAAATATGTCTTTCAGAAAAATAAGCACTTTGACAAACACATGGTATATATTTGAAGTGTTCAATATTAAATTATCAGTTTTAATACAAATTGAAAATTATTAAATGAAAATATAGATATTCTGATTATAAGTATACATTAATTCTTCAGTCATTTTTATCGCTATCTGATAAAGTAGGCTATTTGAAATAAGTGATTAAGTGATTTACTGTCAACATTTGAACGTTAGATATTAAAGCAGGCTACATTTCAATACTTACAACATAAAACTGTAATCCCAACGACACCGTTGCGTAGTATAGCGTGATGTACTCGCCATCCCCTACACCATTCAACATGACAACGTCACCTCTCTTCAGTCCTATTTCTACCAAACTCTTAGCTATCGTGTTAGCCTGAAATAATGCACGTGCTACGAGAATCAGAACCTTGCATAACTCAAGCTGCATAAACCACTGTTTAAGTTAATCCAAATAAGCCATTTTTTCTGTTTTATCTATCAAGATGAATAGCACAAATGTATACCGTATTTTCCCGCGCCATAAACACTACTTGATCTTAAAGTTACAGTCATATCGATTAATAAACATTACACATTTAAAACATTTGCACACAATCCTTGTATCTAATACTTTTTGGTATTTCATTTTAGAACAAATCCAAAATACACGTCTGTTTTTTACAAAATGTTGCATACAAATATCTAGCCATATAAATATATATTTGTGTAACTAAACAAAAGTGATATTAGATATAAAGTCCATCTGTTAATGTTATATTACTGTAACATACGCATAGAAGAACATGACAGTATAAGAATATTTGGCGTCAAGGTTTCATGTTATATAAAGAATGGCATACGGTTACTGTAATTAAGGCAATGCAGTGTGAACGTTATTCACACACATGTGAATGCATCGTTAACATTTAGTAATAGAACAGTATGCCATAAATGAATAATAATGCATCATACAGCTGTTTCGTCCTTCTATTGGTGATACTAGGGGGCCAACGTTTGAAATCCAAAATGGCTTGATTACGGTACAAATAGAGGGGTGGTGCGGAAAACCCTTAATATCTGAATTTCAAAGTTTAGAGTGGTATCTAATTGTGAATTAAATCATTACTTAAGTGTGTATATTATGAACAGTGCCACTAACTAAAAGAGATAAATGTGGCTATCAAGATTATGGCAAACCCCGATATTATACAATATATCACATACATTGAGTCCAAGACGCTCTCAGATTGTATAGACGTTTTGATTATTATGGTTTTGTTTTCTAAACGCCTTATTTAAAGTATCACATTACTTGAATACCACAGGACAAAAGCTGTGATACAAATAAATCATGTTAAAAGACAAGTGCAGCTGAGAAACATGGTTAACGTGACATACTCGAAGATACAACCATTTCTTATCACCTACAGGAATCGAAGTACTGTCATTATTGTCAATAAATATTTACAATACACATTCAAATAGGATAATAGAATTAAAATGTTAAAAGCAAACTAGATACAGCAATTCTTCACCAATATTAGTGTTATACAAAAATGTATTTTCGTATATACAAACCCTTTCGAGAATATATTTTAGTGTATATTCCTGTCGAAATTCCGGTACTTTCAAAGCCACTTGATCAGACGGTGCTTCCTTGGCGGCAGCCTCCAGTCCAGCAAACAGTGACTGATTGGTGAGAGGAGATGGACATATCCCGTGATAGTAACTTTGTGTCAGAGGGTGTTCCGCAGGAGTGCACTCTCTGTGGTAAACATCAGTTAATATCAAATAGAGAATGTGATGAAATCTATAAAAAGCCTAACAAGTGAAACCCTTAACAATCGAATTTCTAAACAACAGAACAAGAACCGTATCCAATGTGCGCATATTGGTGAGTTATACGAAAAGATAAACAATGTTTTATAAACCTCATGGAAAACGATACTTATATATGGAAATGAACATGAATGCAAAATATTTAATTTACTGTTGTTTTGTTTTAACATGTTCTTCTATTCACCAGCACGTTACAAATTAACAAATAGTGTCCTCTCGCAGTAGGACTTCCATACAACTCACTCTCTTCCAGGACTGCAATGCACCTCACTCTCTTCCAGGGCTTCCATACAACTCACCCTCTTCCAGGGCTTCAATGCACCTCACTCTCGTCCAGGGCTTCAATGTACCTATAGTGTCCTCTCGCAGTAGGACTTCCATACAACTGACTCTCTTCCAGGACTGCAATGCCCCTCACTCCCTTCCAGGGCTTCCATACACCACACTCTCTTCCAGGGCTTCAATGGACCTCACTCTCGTCCAGGGCTTACATACAACTCACTCTCGTCCAGTGCTTCCATACAACTCACTCCTCCAGGGCTTCAATGTACCTATAGTGTCCTCTCGCAGTAGGACTTCCATACACCTCTCTCTCTTCCAGGACTGCAATGCACCTCACTCTCCTCCAGGGCTTCCATGCACCTCACTCTCCTCCAGGGCTTCCATACACCACACTCTCTTCCAGGGCTTCGATGTACCTCACTCTCGTCCAGGGCTTACATACAACTCACTCTCGTCCAGGGCTTCCATAGAACTCACTCTCTTCTATGACTGCAATGCTCCTCACTCTCCTCCAGGGCTTCCATACAACTCCCTCTCGTCCAGGGCTTCCATACAACTCACTCTCTTCCAGGGCTTCAATGTACCTCACTCTCTTCAAGGGTTTTCATACAACTCACCCTCTTCCAGGGCTTCAATGTACCTCACTCTCTTCAAGGGCTTCCATACAACTCACTCTCTTTCAGGGCTTCAATGTACCTCACTCTCTTCAAGGGCTTCCATACAACTCACTCTCTTCCAGGGCTTCAATGTACCTCACTCTCTTCAAGGGCTTCCATACACCTCACTCTCGTTCAGGGCTTCCATACACCTCACTCTCGTCCAGGGCTTCCATACAACTCACTCTCTTCAGGGCTTCAATGTACCTCACTCTCTTCAAGGGCTTCCATACAACTCACCCTCTTCCAGGGCTTCAATGTACCTCACTCTCTTCAAGGGCTTCCATACAACTCACTCTCTTCCAGGGCTTCAATGTACCTCACTCTCTTCAAGGGCTTCCATACAACTCACTCTCTTCCAGGGCTTCAATGTACCTCACTCTCTTCAAGGGCTTCCATACAACTCACTCTCTTCCAGGGCTTCAATGTACCTCACTCTCTTCAAGGGCTTCCATACAACTCACTCTCTTCCAGGGCTTCAATGTACCTCACTCTCTTCAAGGGCTTCCATACAACTCACCCTCTTCCAGGGCTTCAATGTACCTCACTCTCTTCAAGGGCTTCCATACAACTCACTCTCTTCCAGGGCTTCAATGTACCTCACTCTCTTCAAGGGCTTCCATACAACTCACTCTCTTCCAGGGCTTCAATGTACCTCACTCTCTTCAAGGGCTTCCATACAACTCACTCTCTTCCAGGGCTTCAATGTACCTCACTCTCTTCAAGGGCTTCCATACAACTCACTCTCATCCAGGGCTTCAATGTACCTCACTCTCTTCCAGGGCTTCCATACAACTCACTCTCTTCCAGGGCTTCAATGTACCTCACTCTCTTCAAGGGCTTCCATACACCTCACTCTCGTTCAGGGCTTCCATACACCTCACTCTCGTCCAGGGCTTCCATACAACTCACTCTCTTCAGGGCTTCAATGTACCTCACTCTCTTCAAGGGCTTCCATACAACTCACTCTCTTCCAGGGCTTCAATGTACCTCACTCTCTTCAAGGGCTTCCATACAACTCACTCTCTTCCAGGGCTTCAATGTACCTCACTCTCTTCAAGGGCTTCCATACAACTCACTCTCTTCCAGGGCTTCAATGTACCTCACTCTCTTCAAGGGCTTCCATACAACTCACTCTCTTCCAGGGCTTCAATGTACCTCACTCTCTTCAAGGGCTTCCATACAACTCACTCTCATCCAGGGCTTTAATGTACCTCACTCTCGTCCAGGGCTTCCATACAACTCACTCTCTTCCAGGGCTTCAATGTACCTCACTCTCTTCAAGGGCTTCCATACAACTCACTCTCATCCAGGGCTTCAATGTACCTCACTCTCGTCCAGGGCTTCCATACAACTCACTCTCTTCCAGGGCTTCAATGTACCTCACTCTCTTCAAGGGCTTCCATACACCTCACTCTCGTCCAGGGCTTCCATACAACTCACTCTCTTCCAGGGCTTCAATGTACCTCACTCTCGTCCAGGGCTTCCATACAACTCACTCTCGTCCAGGACTTCAATGTACCTCACTCTCTTCAAGGGCTTCCATACAACTCACTCTTCCAGGGCTTCAATGTACCTAACTCTCTTCAAGGGCTTCCATACACCTCACTCTCTTTCAGGGCTTCAATGTACCTCACTCTCTTCAAGGGCTTCCATACAACTCACTCTCATCCAGGGCTTTAATGTACCTCACTCTCGTCCAGGGCTTCCATACAACTCACTCTCTTCCAGGGCTTCAATGTACCTCACTCTCTTCAAGGGCTTCCATACAACTCACTCTCATCCAGGGCTTTAATGTACCTCACTCTCGTCCAGGGCTTCCATACAACTCACTCTCTTCCAGGGCTTCAATGTACCTCACTCTCTTCAAGGGCTTCCATACAACTCACTCTCATCCAGGGCTTTAATGTACCTCACTCTCGTCCAGGGCTTCCATACAACTCACTCTCTTCCAGGGCTTCAATGTACCTCACTCTCTTCAAGGGCTTCCATACACCTCACTCTCGTCCAGGGCTTCCATACACCTCACTCTCGTCCAGGGCTTTCATACAACTCACTCTCTTCAAGGGCTTCCATACAACTCAATCTCTTCCAGGGCTTCAATGTACCTCACTCTCTTCCAGGGCTTCCATACAACTCACTCTCTTCCAGGGCTTCAATGTACCTCACTCTCTTCAAGGGCTTCCATACACCTCACTCTCTTCCAGGACTGCAATGCACCTCACTCTCTTCCAGGGCTTCCATACAACTCACTCTCTTCCATGACTGCAATGCACCTCACTCTCCTCCAGGGCTTCCATACACCTCACTCTCGTCCAGGGCTTCCATACACCTCACTCTCGTCCAGGGCTTCCATACACCTCACTCTCGTCCAGGGCTTCCATACACCTCACTCTCGTCCAGGGCTTCCATACACCTCACTCTCGTCCAGGGCTTCCATACACCTCACTCTCGTCCAGGGCTTCCATACACCTCACTCTCGTCCAGGGCTTCCATACACCTCACTCTCTTCCAGGGCTTCCATACAACTCACTCTCTTCCAGGGCTTCAATGTACCTCACTCTCTTCAAGGGCTTCCATACAACTCACTCTCTTCCAGGGCTTCAATGTACCTCACTCTCGTCCAGGGCTTCCATACAACTCACTCTCTTCCAGGGTTTCAATGTACCTCACTCTCTTCAAGGGCTTCCATACAACTCACTCTCGTCCAGGGCTTCCATACACCTCACTTTCGTCCAGGGCTTCCATACAACTCACTCTCGTCCAGGGCTTCAATGTACCTCACTCTCTTCAAGGGCTTCCATCCACCTCACTCTCTTCCAGGACTGAAATGCACCTCACTCTCTTCCAGGGCTTCCATACAACTCACTCTCTTCCATGACTGCAATGCACCTCACTCTCCTCCAGGGCTTCCATACACCTCACTCTCGTCTAGGGCTTCCATACACCTCACTCTCGTCCAGGGCTTCCATACACCCCACTCTCTTCCAGGGCTTCCATACAACTCACTCTCTTCCAGGGCTTCAATGTACCTCACTCTCGTCCAGGGCTTCCATACAGCTCACTATCGTCCAGGGCTTCAATGTACCTCACTCTCGTCCAGGGCTTCCATACAGCTCACTATCGTCCAGGGCTTCAATGTACCTCACTCTCTTCAAGGGCTTCCCTACACCTCACTCTCGTCCAGGGCTTCCATACAACTCACTCTCTTCCAGGGCTTCAATGTACCTCACTCTCTTTCAGGGCTTCAATGCACCTCACTCTCGTCCAGGGCTTCAATGCACCTCACTCTCTTCCAGGGCTTCCATACAACTCACTCTCGTCCAGGGCTTCCATACACCTCACTCTCGTCCAGGGCCTCCATACACCTCACTCTCCTTCAGGGATTCCATACACCTCACTCTCGTCCAGGGCTTCCATACATCTCACTCTCTTCCAGGGCTTCAATGCACCTCACTCTCTTCCATGTCTTCCATACTCTCTTTCATAAACTATTGATTTATAAATTACATGTTATTATCGTTATTATTTAGAACTATTTATTTTTGGTTTTATATCAGGTCTACTTATGCTTTTTATTATCCCCTCGCTCACAATCTCTTATTTACTAGCGAACGCTCTTGCTTGAGCTTCATATAGGGATTGAACGGCGTTTTTTAAATTTCCATTCCGGTATGAACCCAAATCGGTTGCATCCATATTTCATGAAGGTTTGAGATTATATTCAAATCACACGTATGGATTCCAAAGTTTATTTGGAGCCTTTGGATGTAACCAATCGAAAGTTAAAGTTTTTGGTGACTTAACATGTATTAGTGGTCATGAACCTTAACCAAAAGCAATCACAAAATATATATGTGACATTTCATTTGTGATATTTGATTAAGCTGTTATAACCAGACTTTTGCGTTTATTTTCAGTTCAATTTAAACAGTAGTTCATAAAGCATCACTATTTTGGATTGGGATATTAAAATTGTGTTTTGAAATTTGCGACGGTATGTCGTTACTATACTATCGGAAGAAAAACTGTTTTTTATTTTACACTGTTGTAATTAATGTCTCGTCTCATATATCAAATTTAAGTAATTCGTATTCTACAAACATGCGTTTGTAAGGCTCCAGTGTTATATGATATTTTATCGTTGAAATTGATATTTTTAAATTCATGCACACGTATGCAGTCATACAAATGTAAAACAGTGGCTGCTTATAAATAAAATTGCCTTTCACAGTCATACTATCTTATATGATATCATTTCGGGGCTGACGCTTTATACTCAAGGACACAGTGTACCTGTGTCCCATTTAAATGCCGATATCATGCTGATATATCATATGGTTGACTTACAAATTCATCAGAAAGAGAGGAAGTCAGCTGCCTTTCATGAGTATTTTGTTGCTAGCAATGTTAGGTTTAACAAAATATATCTTATTTCTATTGACATTAGTGCTCTGTGATATTCATAAAATCGTAAATATATTGTTTGTGCTACAGAAATATATTCACAAACATTATGCGTGTATTGATTTGGTTATAAATGTTATCACGTACAAAAACCACATCGTTAAAACATTCACAAGGGCATCCTAAGTGCATGTACAATGTGTATAGGTCATGCACCATCTATAGGTTATCTCTGTATATAAGTACACACAACCTCTTATCGTACTGAATACTTATATAATAAACTAACAGTTCAGTATTTGTATGATCTACTTATCTCATATAAATAATGCAACTGAACGTAACAGAAACAAACATGCCTTCTATGACAAATACTTAGCCATCATCGTTTACTAAAAACTTAGTCTTAGTATAAAGTCTACATCATCATCACCGAACAGATGAAATGTATTGGATCATCAACAAAAAAGACAATAAAAATTACAACAGAATCACGAATATAACCAAACCATCAATTTATACAAAATTGATAATAACGCCACAAACAAATGCAAAATTTCACCACGCAACGGTACAAAATATATACCAGAGCATCGATATATACAAAAAAACTACATAAGAATGTATCAGTGACCACACAACCAATATCTGAACTCAAAATCGGTAAAACTAGGTCACGATATGAACAAAGGACAGATTTACGAGGAGACCCGTGAAAAAGCGGGAGGAAAAGAAGACCAGGTGTTCCGGAAGTGTACCATCTTTCACTTCATCAACGACAGCCGCCTTGTAAATCTAGGTAGAATACAAGTCCTCACGTCGACAACTCGGCAGTGAACACGAAAATACCAGGCAGTGTAATGAGCATAATAAGAAACATCGACCTTCATATCACACAAGGAAAATGCATATTTCCACGAAAAGTATACAACTTCAAGTGATACCAAATATACCGCAAATTGCAACAGATGCCACAACATACACAAAACAAATTCAAAATCTTCAGGATATTATCAATGGTTGAGGAACTACCTGAAAGGCCAAAATGACATTAGAAGATTCCAAAGACTGCAGTGTCTATTCCAGTATTAAATACAGGCAATATAGTTATCTTTATCATATATATATCAAAAACATATCAACATGGTCAAAATGATGCTACTCACCTGGAAATCACCGAGGCACCCTCGTTTGTATCGAAATTTCCGTCCATGCTACAACAAACATTAATAATAACACAACATTAATACTGTGAGGTTGATACTTCCCTATTGTTTGTCGGTATGGACCAACTTAGGTGAGATAACACGTGATATCATCACTACGTGTGCATGTCCAGTGATAAGCGTGTTTCTCGTTTGTTTACACTGGCGTGCCTACTTTTAATGTGTCATGACGAGTAATCCTGTATGAACTAATATCATCTAATTACATACATGCAGGAAAACGATTAATATCAATATAAATATATAGGAAAAATATACTCTCCCATGATAATGTTACTACTGCATAAGTGAAGTAATCAAATTATTTCTTTATCTAGAAATTTAAAATTCCGCAAGTTAAAGTATGGATTGTCTACACAGTCCATTCATCATTACGGTCGGCAAGCCATATCTCGCTTCCGTCCCAGTCAATAACACGTTTGTATTGAAATGATGTATACATAACACTTTGAAGAACGTAATTGACATTTCCTATCCAATTAGTACACACACGGGCGTCCGAATCCAGGCTGCAAAACAGACTCGCTCATGTTTTGCATGTTTTTGTAACTGTTTATTATGTGTATATATATGTTTCAGGATATTATGACATTTACAAACCTTTTATTTATGTTGCCAATACCCATCTGTGTCTGCCCTCTAATATATCTATTCCCAATAGATACCTGCTATATCATGCGTCCCTATTTCATCTTGAAAGATTAGGGGTAATCTATCAAAAAAAAAAAAAAATACACTAAAAGAAATCATGATCTTGAACATGATGACCTTGAGATGTTATGGGGTGGAAGTCCACATTTAATCACATACATAACTTCTTAGTTGTATATACAGACCTGAGTCACCGGTTAGATATTGGGAAACATTACACTCTGTCCTTGAAAATGCCACTAATACTAACTTGGATATAATAGTTACTGGTGATCAAAATATTGATATGCTGAATCTACATCCCCATTCTCATGTTAGTAGACTTATGACAACATTTCATCGTTGTAGTTCTATTAATGAACCCACTCGTATCACTCCAACTTCTTCAACATCAATAGATATTTTTTTTCGAATAATGACAACTAGGTGAAGATTGCATATGTATCTCTACCTTTTTGCAGTGACCATTCTCTGATCCAGTTTAACATCTCTTATAGTTTCTTCAAACAACAAACATATCAAAAGAATATCTTAATTCATGAAGATGCAGATTATGTCAAATTCAATAGACATATAAGTGAAATAGATTGGGAAAGTCTTATTAATAGATATGACAGTAATGAATTTATCAACAGTTTATGTGATAAAATAAACCAACTAATTGCTGATTGTATACCAAACGTAAATGTAACAGTAAGGCCAAATGATAAGGAGTGGATGACAAATGATATAAGAATTAAAATGAGAACAAGAGTAATAATTTTGTGATTCATTGGAGAAACTATAGAAATATGAGTAATTATACAGTAAGTAAAATAAGTGAAGCTGAGAAAAAATACATAGCAAACTTACAAAAATCTTTGAGTAATAAAACTATCCCTTCTCACAAATGGTAGAAAATTGCTAAAAATGTTTGTTATAGTTAAATAAAGCTAACTCTATTTCGCCACCCAAACATAATAAATCATTTATTCAGCATCCATTTGACAAAGCAGAATGTTTAAATAAGTATTTAAGTCAATATCCACAACTTCTGTAGATACTGAACCAATAACTGAAACAGTAAATACTTCTACCCATTCAACACATAATATAATCATTACTCAACATAGAGATCAACTGTCCCTCTTAGATTCTAATAAACCTGCTAGATCTGATGGTATGATACCAAAAATATTTAAACTACAGCCATCTATCACTCTTCCTCTAACTTTACTTTTCAGTAAAACACTTGAAACAGATACTATTCCTCTAAGCTGAAAGATGGCTAACATAAAAGCGAGTTATAAAGGAAAATGTTTAGCTAACGAGGTAGGCAATTGTAGGCCCATCTCTGTTACATCTTGTTTAAGCAAATTATTAGAAAAATGGTTTTTAAATATCTTCATACATATTTTACTATGCATCACATTATTACAAAACATCAATCTGGTTTCACTCCAAGTGATTCACCTGGTAATCAATTACTCTCCGTATACCTCACAATTGTTAATTGGCTTTTAATAGGGTCTGGCATGATGGACTTTCACATAAATTAGAAACATATGGTATTATAGATAACCTTCTAATCTGGTTAAAATGTTTTTTAACTTCAAAGGAACAAAGACTGATAGCAGACGGTTTTGTATCAACATTTTGACCTGTACATGCAGGCGTGCCTCAAGGCTCGGTCATCCGACCATTACTGCTTTTTAGGTTATATCAATGATATTGTAGATTGTATTTGTAGTAACGTTAAATTATTTGCAGATGGCACATCACTTTATGGTATCACTGAAAATAATCCTATCGATTTGGCACAGAATCTCTCAAATGATATGTTCAATATTAAGTTATGGGCTAAAAAATGGGATGTAAAAAATAATCCTTCTAAAACTGAGTACGTAATATTTTCAAGAAAATTATATAAAAATCATCCAGTTATTACCTTTTATGAAGAACCAATTACAGAAAATAAAACGCATACACATCTGGGTCTAACCTTGAGTGATGATGCAAAAAGAAATTTTCATATTACTAACATTTATGGAAAGCTTTTAAGAGGATACATATTTTAAGATTATTAAAACAAAAAAGTAGATAGAAAATCTCTCACTACCTTATATATATCTTACATAAGACATGTATTGAAATATGCTGATGTAATGTGGGACAATTTTACTCAAGAATCTGTTCAGTTAGAGGCAGCAAGATTAATTACAGGACTACGCAGAGGGACATACAATTATGAATAATGAAACACCTAATTACTTGAACCCTACTATCATGATGATAATCTGAATAGATATCCTTTAAGAACATATAGCATATTTGACCCACCATTATGTTGTACTGTATGTTTTTATGAATTGTTTTCCCTTCTGTTTAATGAATTTAATACAATTGCCCCTAATATTCATAACAATAAATTTACCAAACAGTTCATAAGCTTATTTTAGGTCAAAATCATTATGTTCAAACTAAAACAACCGATATTTTCAAATTTTCTGGAAATCGCAATATAAACATAAAGCTTTGTCACCTAAGAAAAGGTGTAAGTAACCTAAATTACGACCTTTATAAAGACCATTTTGTTGAATCTCCACATTGTAAATGCGACCAAAGCTATGAAACTGCTTCCAACTATTTTCTTGAGTGTAATAGGTATAATAACATTCTACAGCAGAATCTTAATCATGATGTTCATAATCACCGAAGTATAAATATCCTGCTTCATGGCCCTAATATTGTGCTACAAGTCCTTCTAGGAATTGAAATTAAATTGGTAAAATTTGTCATGTTATGTACATGTATTATTTTGCCTCTTGGCAGATATCATTATGAAATACCTTTAGCTCAATTGAACTTAAATTAATTGAATTTAAACATCTGTTTTCCCTCCTGGTTCTGCTCCTATGATATAGCTGAAGTACACACGAATGATATATATCTTATCAGAAATAAACATGTTTTGTTTCTTTTTTTTCTTTCATTGTAATGATACAGGTCATAAATAACATAGTATAAATAAATATGTACTTTCCCCTAGGCACCACAGATTGGATATAACCATACTAGCTTCACGAAGTAACTCATGCTTTTGAAAATGTACTAACAGTCATAATATGTCCTAGAGTTGGTGTGACCCTACTAGTAAACTAAATATCTATCTGCTGGAATTGGCTTTTGATCTTCGTTAGTGGATGGCCAATGTGTGACATATGGACTTTGTATGCTTGTAGCTTTTGTGGAGATAAAGCCAAATCTACCAAGTGTATAAGTTTTGAATATTTTCATAATATATATGGAAAAAGTGTAGCTATAGCTAAGGTAAAAATATCATTTTTTGCAAAACTTGTTTATTATTAGTCTTTTATTATAAGGGTAATGATCTTTACATATCACTATTATATAACCTGCTTTGGATGAGTTACTTCTGCTTTGTGCATCTATAATGTCAACGTTTTTAATATATGTAAACAATGTGTTCACCACCGGATGTAGCTATAAGGAGAGGACGTATATAGGCAATGCCTGATGTTCAATTCTATAATAAGATATGTTGAAATTGATATCATCACATTGTTAGGGTTATATCATACTGTGTTATCATAAACGAAAGGTCAACTTGCAAATCAAGTTTAACACACACTGTGTAAAGGAGGCTGATACCGACAGCCTAAACTACTGCCCTACATCAGTCAATGTAACAGGCGATGTGTAAAGGAGGCTGGTACCGACAGCCTAAACTACTGCCCTACGTCAGTCAATGTAACAGGCGATGTGTAAAGAAGGCTCGTACCGACAACCTAGACTACTGCCCTATATCAGTCAATCTAACAGACGGTGTGTAAAGGAGGCTCGTACCGACAGCCTCAGCTACAGCCCTATATCAGTCAATCTAACAGACGGTGTGTAAAGGAGGCTGGTACCGACAGCCTAAACTACAGCCCTATATCAGTCAATCTAAGAGACGGTGTGTAAAGGAGGCTGGTACCGACAACCTAGACTACTGCCCTAAACCAGTCAATGTAACAGACGATGTGTTAAGAAGGCTCGTACCGACAGCCCAAACTACTGCCCTATACCAGTCTATATAACAGACGGTGTGTAAGGAGGCAAGTACGACAGCCTAAACTACTGCCCTATACAAGTCAATATAATAGACGGCGTCTTACACACGGTGTGTAAGGAGGCTCGTACGACAGCCTAAACTACTACCCTATACCATTCAATATAACAGACGGTGTGTAAAGTAGGCTCGTACCGACAGCCTAAACTACTGCCCTATATCAGTCATTCTTACAGACGGTGTGTAAGGAGGCTCGTACGTCAGCCTAAACTACTGCCCTATACAAGTCAATATAACAGACGGCGTGTAAAGGAGGCTCGTACCGACAGCCTAAACTACTGCCCTATACCAGTCAATCTAACAGACAGTGTGTAAAGGAGGCTCGTACCGATAGCGTAAACTACTGCCCTATATCAGTCAATCTAACAGACGGTGTGTAAAGGAGCCTCGTACCGACAGCCTAAACTACAGCCCTATATCAGTCAATCTTACAGACGGTGTGAAAGGAGGCTCGTACGTCAGCCTAAACTACTGCCCTATACAAGTCAATATAACAGACGGCGTGTAAAAGAGGCTCGTACCGACAGCCTAAACTACTGCCCTATACCAGTCAATCTAACAGACGGTGTGTAAAGGAGGCTCGTACCGATAGCGTAAACTAGTGCCCTATATCAGTCAATCTAGCAGACGGCGTGTAAAGGAGCCTCGTACCGACAGCCTAAACTACAGCCCTATACCAGTCAATCTAACAGACGGCGTGTAAAGGAGGCTCGTACCGACAGCCTAAACTACAGCCCTATCCCAGTCAATCTAACAGACGGTGTGTAAAGGAGGCTCGTACCGACAGCCTAAACTTCTGCCCTATATCAGTCAATCTTACAGACGGTGTGTAGATGAGGCTCGTACAGACAGCGTACACTACTGCCCT